GGATAAATACCCAAGCAGGGTGCGTGTTAAATTGCACACCAACACAAGAGAAAAAAATCTGAGGATATATTTTTCGGATATTAAAGAACCCCTATCGGGAGTATGCCGCCACCCCCCCCCCCCCCCCCCCCCCAGCGGCCAGTACCATGTCTTTCGGAATCCGCAGCAGTGCCATTGCTAGCCAAGAATAGCTCACCTTTGCTAAAACTGGAGCTCTTCGAGTACCAAGACACCACTCACGATCACTTCTAACTCACTTGCACACACTTATACTCCCAACACACCGTAATCCCACCAGCGCCTCCGCCCGCAGTCGCGCAAGTTTCAAACTAGTATGGCGGCCGGCCGCATGGAAGCCAACGGTTGAACATGGGCTACTAGGGCTGCATTATGTTCCCAATATTTTCCCGACGCGTTTTCTTTGAAGTATTGTATATGAATTTATTTATTTATTATCGTGGATTTGTTTATTTGATGTAGTTGAAGCAAATCCATTAGAATATAAATGCAAACTCTGTACACCATACAGCACAGCAGCGCCATCTACCCAACTGCACCCATAGGGAATTTCAAGGGTGTCTGACACTGCAAAGACAGGCTGACGAAGAAAGACGAACGTCTTTCGAAAGCTCCCGTAACTAATAAACGAAGCTGGTAATTTGAATATTTTTATGCTAGAATGTCTCTGTCCCAGCTGAACAATAACATTTATAACTACATGAAGTACCAAGAGAATACGAACGGTGTTAGTCATCCCCGAAACACTGCCACTATATAAAAAATGGGTACATCCCAAGCCACCAAGTGTGCTTTTCAAGTGTCGTGTGACACCTTAAACGGTGTTTAAGGGATGACATGGCACACTCAGTACACCTAACGGGTGTTATGTTTTCTCTGTAACACCAAAAAAGATGTTGGATGGGAGTTGAGACACCTCGATTACACCCCAAGTGTGTTATTTCAAGTGTCATGTGACACCTTAAACGGTGTTCAAGCAATGTCATTACACCAATAACGGTGTTCAACGGGGTAATGACACTGCTATGAGTGTTGAATGGGAGTTACGACACCTCGATTACATCCCAGGTGTGCTCTTTCAAGTGTCGTGTGACACCTTAAACGGTGTTTAAGTTATGACATGACACTTTCAATACACCCAGAGGGTGTTTTGTTTTCTCTTTGACACCAAAAGGAGTGTTGAATGGGAGCTACGGCACTTCGAGTACATCCCAAGTGTGCTTTTCAAGTGTCGTGTGACACCTTAAACGGTGTTTAAGGGATGACATGGCACCCTCAGTACACCTAACGGGTGTTATGTTTTCTCTGTAACACCAAAAAAGGTGTTAGATGGGAGTTGAGACACCTCGATTACACCCCAAGTGTGTTATTTCAAGTGTCATGTGACACCTTAAACCGTGTTCAAGCAATGTCATTACACCAATAACGGTGTTGAACGGGGTAATGACACTGCTGTTAGTGTCATGATACACCATTAATGGTGCTTAACACCCATAATACTCTAATAAAACACCCGACCAGTGTCTTATATTTTTTCAGTGTATATATCAAATTCGAGTACAAATAACGAACCAAAATTTTCATCAAGTTTGCGTCATTTCTTTGCGCATTGGCATGTCAAATTATAACACTATACCATCATTTTCAAGCTGGCAATCTTGAGTTGAATTAAGCAAGACGTTTTTGCTTTTTTTGCCGATGCCAGACGATAGTGATGATTAAGTTAGACGTCCCATGTTATAAAAAAGAATAAAAAATAGAGCTCGTGAATGAAACCAACACGTATGTTCTTATTTTAAATATTTTTGTCTCAGTTATGTGCCAAATATTCAAATACTGAGCCAAAATGGTGCTCATGGATGCCATTCGTTTCGACACCAAATCATGTTTCGAGCAGGAGTGGCACGGTGCATGGATTACTGCTGATTACCCTCCTTTCAGTAGATCAAACAGTAAATCGACCAGATAAGGAAAACAAACTAAAGCAGATTGGTTCCTGTGCCAGAAGACCACAGAATAGCTTATGAAAAACAACATTGCCAGCAGATAACAAAAAAAAAAACTGGTTGAAAAGCTACTTTTTCCCAGGAATGTCAGCCAGGAAAGCATTTGAGCCACAAGATGGTTAGAAAACTGGAAACTTCTTCCGATGCCGCTGGCACAGAGCCATCGTGGTTGCCTGAGGGAATGTGTCATCCTGAGACCCGAACCATCAATGAGACTAGCTGCCAGTAAAAGTCATGGCTCTAGGCCGCGGTGCCGCGGGGTGAAAGTGACCCGTTCACTCACAAGTTTTTAGTAAACATCGGAGCAAAAAAGTAATTTTTACATGGCATGCTTGAAACACGAACCGTTTAAAAAGTAATTTACCCAACACCATGAAAATCACACCATTTACTGAAAATGTGTGTCGCATTGACTATTCGAAGTTTCAATGTTGTATTTTTATCACTTTCTGAGAAATATTGATTTAAAGTTGGGAACGTTTTTTCTGGGCCACCCGGTATAGACGCAGTAGTTCGATTTGAATTACATGCATGACACTGCTGATGCATTTGCTGAGCTATTCAGTAGCTGATGTTTGAGCGATGTGCGTGTACATATGCGGCGCGTCATAAGCTATATGAGCTGGTCGATCTCATTTTATGTGGTCCAGTTTAGGCCAACGTATGTATAATAAGGTGAACTCATAATTACGAGTACCTACTATCTACGCCTTTGAAAGCCTGTCTAGCAGCACGAACATTACAAATTGAAGTCTTCTCACCTTTAGTTCGTAGAACGTGTTTGATGTCACGATGCCTCCAGGTCGAGTGCAGCAGAAGAAGCTTTTACAAAACACGCTCATAGCGCACCCAATTATTTGCCGAACTAACACTCTAATGCTGGTCCTCCACTATATGCTTTTCCGGTCAATTGGCAAACGTTAAGCCTGGTTCACTTGTGCACGTTTGAACACCAATCGATCGCTTCGACAACCATTCAACACATCACCGTTCACCATCACCATTCACACAAACCCTCTCTCTAGGTGCGCGGCACCACAGCACGCCGCACGAGGCCGTCGATGGTCGTCGCGCGCGACGGCACGCCCACCACAGCCGGCAGTGTCGACGCGCGGACTGGCGTCGCGGGCGACGCACCCATCGATTCCGACAAGCCGCCGTCTCACGCGCGCTGCGCGGTCGGCCTGCTGACAGCTAATTTGCGTACGGCGCGCTTCTTTGTTGAAGTTGTGGCATTGGATTATTGACATAGACGTGGTGATAAATTGGACTGACTACACGGAGAAAAATAATTACTCCCCCCGGGAATCACGATCCCCTATTTGGGAATCAACTGACACCCATGGTGTAATCCGATTCTGAAAAACAGTGTCCATACACCGTTTTTTAGTGTAAATTGATCTCGGTCAGAATCACATACCCAAGGGTCATTTGACTCCCAAAATTTTGACTCCCATTTTAGGTGTCGTGTCAAAAGATCCTACACGGTGTCAGTGTAAAATAACACATCTAAGCGTTTTTGACGCTATCATGGGGAGTTTTTATATCCTATAGGTGTCATTTCACACAGTTGAGCGTTTTCGCAATCCGTGACTCCCTTATTAGGTGTAATTTGATCCTCAGTGGTGTCATAATATTCTGTTCAAATGACTTATTGGGTGTAATTTGACCCTCGGTAGTGTCATAATATTCCGGTGTCATTTGAGCCCCATTGGGTTCAAATGACACCGGAATATTATGGCACCACTGAGGGTCAAATTACACCTAATAAGCGAGTCACGGATTACGAAAACGCTCAACTGAATGAAATGACACCTATACCTAGGGTTCAAAAACTCCACATGATAGTATCAAAAAACACTAAATTATTACAGAAATTGTTTTGACGTCACTGGTGGTATGCCACCATCTCTTGACTCTGCAGTGTTGGTTCCTATAGGAACCAACACTGCAGAGTCAAGAGATTTTCGGTGAATCAGACTCCGAATCCAACTCCGGCTTCCAATATCGACTCCGACTCCGACTACGGCCAGAACTGTCGTTTCCAACCGACTCCGACTACGGCCAGAACTGTCGACTCCAACGGACTCCGACTCTGACTCCGTAACCCTGGTGTAGGTTCAGTGATTTGAATCAATGCCCCGAGTGACGTCATGTGTGAGCAAGCCATGGCTGGTCCGCTACGAAGATGAAATAGGCAATAGCCCAATCAGCAGGCTGCACTGTCAATTTACGGACGAAGATTTGCGAAAAAAATGCGAGACGAAGAAATGCGGAGACGAAGAAATGTGCGGACGAAGAAATGCGAGACGAAAAAAATACGGAGACGAAGAACTGCGAGACGAAGAAATGCGAGACGAAGACATGCAAGACGAAGACATGCAAGACGAAGATATGCGAGGCGAAGAAATGCGAGACAAAGAAATGCGAGACGAAGAAATGTGAGACGAAGAAATGCGAGACGAAGAAATGCGAGACGAAGAAATGCGAGACAAAGAAATGCGCGGACGAAGAAATGCGGAGACGAAGAAATGCTCGGACGAAGAAATGCGAGACGAAGAAATGCGAGACGAAGAAATGCGAGACGAAGAAATGCAAGACGAAGAAAGGCGGAGACGAAGAAATGAGCGGACGAAGTTTTGCGGACGAAGAATTGCGCGACGAAGAAATGCCATGCAAAGATTTGTCCGGATACGCTGCGGTATCAATTGATTTTCGGTGACCCAGACTCCAACTCCAGCTCCGGCTTCCAAAGTCGCCGTCGACTCCGACTCTGACTCCGGCCACAACTGTCAACTCCACCCGACTCTGACTCTGACTCTGTAACCCTGGTGCGAACCACAGCTCAGGTCCAGTGGTCTGAGTCAATGCCCGGCCAATCAGCAAGCTGCATTGTCGTGTGACGTCATTTGTGTTCTAGCCATGCCGGTCCGCCACGAAGATGAAATAGCTCGACCTTGCAGGAAAACCGTTAGGAAAGCCGTTGACTTCAGTTGCCGGAAGTGTGCCCACGTGGGTGCGTGTGGTGTGAGCGGGGAGAGGAACTTATTTGAATTAACGCGCTTTTAATGTCGCCAAACGTTGTTTAAAGTGTAGATTTATTTCAAGTAATAGTGCTTTAACGATAAACTTCAGATATTATTTGTAGTTTGCTCAGCATGCGTATTTAAACAACGAGGCGCCCTGCACTCGGCGAAATTTTGAAGTAGGACAAGATAGCAACGCACCATGGAGACGGAGGTAAGTTTTTATGTCATTAAGCTGCAGAATAACTTTACCTAAGTAAGTAGCAATAATCACCGGTTGATGGAACATTGTTGAAATGTGAGTAATTCCTTACGGTGAATGGAGTCACGGACCCATGAGCCTTACGATAAGTTTTCATTAGATTTCGCCATACATTTCGTGCCCAAATGTTTTGGAATTTATTGTTGCATATAAAATAAAGAATGACATGCATGTATTGTTAATTTGCGTCACGTGGTTAACAACTGCAATTATGACTCTGTTGGAGAGTGTATTTTGATCCCATAAGGTGTATGATTCCGAGAATCATTTGACAATATCTGGTATAAAGACTGATTGAAAAGGAGACGTCATCGTCAATAGATAAAATTGTAGCTGCAAGGGTGAAGACACATGTAAGCTACATTTAAAGTCTCGTTGCAGTCTGGCTAATCGTTCCTATAAGCTTCAGAAGCAGAACATACCCATGGGTGTTGGGTATGTTGGTTAGTTGTACCATAATATTGGTCTCAAGATAAGGGCCCAGGCGACATGTTTTTCTGATGCGATGAATATACCCTTTATACCCTCGCCGCAGCTCGGTTCGAGTGCATCCCTCACCCCTGCACACAACCCAATCCCCGCACTCGAATATTACCGGTATTTCTTATATAGGAGACCAATAGTACCGGTAATATTGATATTAGCTGAGGTATGACGCTAACAGCCAACAGGAACAGGCTCTGAGCCGGTATAGAAAAACCATCCCAAGAGTCATTTGACACCGTTGAGGTGACACCTACGAGGGGTGTTTTTTGAAGCGTACCAAAAACGCGCAGTTTCCAGGAGTCCGATTACACCCGGAATCAGACACCCCCCGAGGTAATCTGACTCTGATTGGGAGAGTATTTTATACCACATGTCGTCAAATGATTCCCGGAATCATACACCGTGTGGGATCAAAATACACCCTCAAAATCCGATTACTCCCTGAAGTGACTCCTAAAAGGGGTGTTTTTTGAAGCGTACCAAAAACGCGCAGTTTCCAGGAGTCAGATTACACCCGGAATCAGACACTTCCTAGAGTATTATGACTCTGATTTGGGGTGTATTTTTATTCCATAAGGCGTATGATTCCGGGAATCATTTGACGCCGTACGGTATAAAAATACACCCTCAACCAGTGTCATAATACCCTAGAAAGTGTCTGATTCCGGGTGTAATCGGACTCCAGAAAACTGCGCGTTTTTGGTACGCTTCAAAAAACACCCCTTTTAGGTGTCATTATTTTTTTCAGTGTAGGGTATTTTGGGAGTACCTACATCGTACTTGAGATATAAGCTGCACCTAAATATTACAGTCAAAATTAATGCATGCTCTAAGACATACGCTCGCAATAGGCCAATATGGGCTTACCTGACCCGGTGGCTATCGCCTATAGCTGGAGAAAAAAGTGTAATGTAATTGCTAAAAGCACAACAATTTTTCAGTCTCTTCCACTGCTTAGTGTTTGAGCATATGGTGTGTGCAAATGTCAGGCAATGTCAATTTTGGATCAAATTTGTCCTCGTTGGACTCTACTTCATCGGGCTGATAAAAAGGTGGACGGATATGATAGGCACTAGGCAGTGATTGTATCGTGCTGCTAACACATCGCTGTCAACCATCTCGTAACAAGGATCGCAAATGACTGCCCCTGTCACTCTGTCAGCTGCTATGATCCGGAAACATGGTAGTTAGGTTTAGTCGGGAACACATCGACTTTGACTTTGATTGGTGACCCAGTGGGCATTGTTGTCATTGATCTATCGTCGACTGATTTCGATGTGCAGGTGAAAGGAACAAAATTCGAGAATGCTCTGTCTACGGTTGTGTCGAATACAACTTTTTTATCACCCAGTATCATCAGCCTAAAAAAGCACTGCACCAGTACCGGCCTAACGGTCCATCCCTGACGAACCCGCTGGCCAGAGCCGTTGTTGCTATCTACGCAGCGCATGGCCGTGCAGTGTGCACCGGTGCAGTGGGGACGAGATACATGCACTGTGGGGGCGTCACCGGCCGTTTCTGGTGCAACATGGCGGCCAACCCGGCTCATGCGGCGCGCCACACCCGCCACCCATACGTGGCGCCGACTGGTGCGCGGCGTATACGTTGCACCTGCTTCTAATCCTAGGCTAGACTCATACCTACCACGGCCAACTACGTAACTGACATGAAAAAAAATGTTATACTGTCGGCGGGTATAGCGCCATTAAGGGTAATATTTGATTAGGCCAGTACGCAGTTGCAAACATCTGGTTGATTGTTGGATTAACCCTCGCCAGACCTAGTGGTTTTCTACATACGTGCCGGCCGAAGGGGAGAGGGGGGGGGGGTACGACCCCCCCTCGCCGTTTCGCCCCTGGTGGAGCTAGCGCGTCGCGGAAAAAAACGAGTGCATGCGCCGTTACGAGGAGCAGAGATTGATACCCAATTTTAAACCTCGCCGGCACATGGGGGGGGGGGGGTGATGCAACCCCCCTAAGGTTTTTCGCGAATAACTCGCGTAAAAAGCGGTCGATCGCGACAAAACTTTCAGTACCCTCGCATTGATCAATTTTACACCTACCCTAAAAATTTCATGACCCTGACCCAAATGACCTTTGACCTGTGACCTCTTTTCCGAGACCATGTTTGGCCAGAATCGCGATTCGGCGTATGTCGGCTCGCATTAGTCGCGCGTTTGCAAGCTTTTCGTGGTTTCAAACGCTCAAACATGTGATTTGATGTTGCTCCCATACATTAGGGTAGGTGTCAAGGTCACCTGAAGATCAGGTCAGGTCATTGACCTATGGTGACCTCGGTTTACTTTTTCGAGTTTTACATGTTTTTAGGCTAGTTTATGGAGGTGAATTCGAGTTTAGCAACCATTTGAACATTTACGAAGTAGTTTTGGTGCCTTCGTAACATGTTACGAAGCTGTCAGAGGCGGATGACAGGTACTACGAATACCCGTCACGACCCCTACCGGTTGACCTGACCTGACCTGACCCGACCTGGTCTAAATGCTTAAAGATATCATCTCTGATCAAAACTAACACGATATTCGTGATCAGCACCCCGTAAAACCCCTTAGCAGCCAGCTTTACGACTTTCTAACAGGTCCTGATTTTCCCGATTTTTGGGTCATTGACCTGACCTGAAAGGTCACCCGATGACCTACGACTTTAAAATTGGGTATCATCGGCTTCCTCTCGTGGCGGGCAACACGCTCGTTTTTTTCTGCGAAGCTCTAGCTCGATCAGGGGCCAAACGCGATGGGGGGGGGGGGGGGTCGTACCAACCAACCATGGGGGGTCCTTGTGCCGTCGAAGGACGCAAAATGGCCTGTGCCGGCGAGGGTTAAGGTCCTAGGTCAACCGGTGACCTCTGAGGTCAGGTCAAGTGCCCCAAGGTACGGTTCCTTTTTTGGTGAATAACTTCGCAAAAGACGGCCGCAGAGCCGCGATTTTGGCAGCATCGTGTTCGCCTCGCTCAGGCGCGTCGAATGATATGCCTACTTTTCCTCAGCGCTCTAGCATGTTTGTACCTAAAGTTATGGTAAAAAGACTGTTGGAGATGTTTCGTGACCTGAGATGACCTCAGGGGCATAAAGGGGTCACAGGTGGAATTTTCTGGTTCACTGTGTCATGTTTAGTGCTTACCTGTGTCACGGTATTTGAATGAGTTTTCCGCCAAAAGAAGAGCATTTCAATTTTCTTCCAATGACTTATACCTAATGGAGAGGTCGCAAAATTGACCTGACATTAGCTCACCGACGTAAAACTTTGAGATATACGAATTGTTCATACTGATTTCCTCATGCAAAAGCTCGAGTTTCAAACTTCTGGGATGTAAACTGTAGGAATGACAGTCACATTTTTTTAGATGCATGGTTACTTTAATTGACCTGGTGACCTGACCTTAGGTGACCTGGAGTCAGATTTTAGCACACGATGCGAAATTGAGGTATCATAAGCTATACCAAGCTTTGCTGCGATGCGCGCCGCTGTTTTGCTTACGCGCGCAAAAAAAAAAAATGGCGGGTGTGGTCAAAAACGCCCCCTCCCCCGCTCGGGCGAAGGCTGATCCTGAAGTATAATATTTGGTCTTCGCGGCCCTCAATGTGGTCCCCAGTAACTTCAGACTCGTGGTTACGCGCCTTTAAAATTATACATAAAACATGCATCACACGATCCTAGTATGGTTGGATTAGGCAACCAACGCTGCATCGGTAATTTTCGATAACATACCTTTTATTCGATGTTATAACGCATTCCTTTAGTGACCCGTAATCGGTAAAAAAATGCGACATTTGACCTAACCTTTGACGTCATCAATTGCGCCTAGGTCAACGAAATTTGGCCATAAGGCAGTTCACCGTTGGGGCTATCGAACACCGTTTGAATTTTTAATTAAAATCGGACGGCAACTTTCCAAGATCTTAGGGGAGGGGAGGGGGGCGAAACGCCCCCCCCCCCACGGGTGATAGGATCCACCAATTGCTCAACGGGGCGCGGGTTTATCATGATCTTGATTGCCTATGTTTGAAAAGTATTGATCATTGAATAGATAGCAATTAATGATCTCTTCTTAACCCTCGCCGGGCGAGGGGAGCGGTGCCACCCCCCATAAGAGGGATAGGGGTTTTTCGCGATAGTTCCGAACACGCTGGCGATAGAGAGCTGAAACTTGACATACCTGACCTTGGATTCAAGCCAGATCTTTTGACACCAACCGCGTTTTCGGGTCAGGTCAGGTCACTGACCTATGATGTCATAAGTGAACCTCTGCACGGTCTTCAGATGTCGCAGCTTCGCAACGCCCTCACTGCCAGAGGAGCTTTCACAGGGAAATGAAACTTGCAGGATCTAGTATTTATTACGAGTCTCACAACTTGTATATCTCGAATTTTTCCTAAAGGTCATATGAGGTCAGGTCATTTTCGTGACCTCACGAAAGTCAATGGGGAAAAATGAAAACTGCTATTCTGGCCTCGGGAACGATCTCCAACTATCTCAAGCACACAGAATCGTGATTTGATGCACTCCTTGCAAGGTTAGATGCGTCACTTTTGCAATGTTCACCCTGCGTGACGTCATTTATGACGTCATGAAGGTCATATTAGTTTTTCATCAATAACTCCCGATCAACTTTAGCCAGCGAGTCGGGAAAGCCACCAATGGACTCCGGAAGACCTGCCGAATCGAATGATCGACATGAACTCTTTCGACCAACTTCGTGACCTGGGGGCGCTGACCTGACCGTGACCTGAGGTCAACACCCTAAGTTGACCTGACCCAAACAAAAGCATATCATTCGACGCGCCTGAGGGAGGCGAACACGATGCTGCCAAAATCACGGCTCTGCGGCCGTTTGTGCGAAGTTATTCACCAAAAACTGAACAGTACCTTGAAGCACTTGACCTGACCTCAGAGGTCACCGGCTGACCTAGGACTTTAAAATCGGGTACCAATCTCTGCGTCTCGTAACGGCACATACGCTCGTTTTTTCCGCGACGCGCTAGCTCCACCAGGGGCGATATGGGGAAGGGGGGTCGTACCCCCCCCCCCCTCGGCCGGCGCGTATGCAGAAAACCAATAGGTCCGGCGAGGGTTAAATAGAGGGCGATGCAATGGCTGTTACCTACCTGTAGCTTTCCTTACACATATTTTGACATTCCTGTCTTTTTTGTGCCTGACAACTTGCAAACGGTCGCCGCCGCCGCTGCTGCGCACACAGCCGCTATTTGAGTTCGGAAGTGGCCAAAATGCGATAACTCGTTAACCAGTTGACATTTTGCCAAGGAATTTTTATTGTATGTGAAGTCAACCGTAAGGTCACATATGGGAACGTATGAGCATCCATGCTGATACATCATTGCCGTAAAAAATATTTTTGCTTGTAATTCGCGGATGACGGGTATATCCCATAACGTGGGTGACTCGGGAGGGGATTCTGCATAGCTTCTCTGCTGTCTTCGAAACTACTCGTTCAATGCTTAACCCGCGCGGGGCTGGGGTCTCCAGCCGAACGCGCGGGGCTGGGGGGGGGGGGGTAAATTTTACCCCCCCTGTTATCTCCCGAACTAATGGTCCGATTTGGAAAAATCAAACGCCAATCGAAAGATCTCATCACGAACTACTAAAAACATGTACTTAATTTAAGGTTTGAGGTCAAGGTCAAGGTCAGGTCAAGGGTACAAATTGCAAGTTTCTACAGTATCGGCCTTGCACCGTAGTTGCCGAAGAATGGAGTCATCGACTAAGACTGATTGCCCAAAACGTGTTCTTAGGCTACCAAGACAATATTCGTTGCATACAATATCATTCAGTGGTCAAGGTCAAGGTCAGGTCAGGTCAGGTCAGGTCACCAAAAAACAAAATATGGAAAAGGGCATGTGCGACACATGTTTTATGGGTCATTTTACTCATAGAATTCAATAGGCACACTCAATTAGTGATATGGACCACCTCTGGATGAATTTCAGGTCGAGGTCAGGTCAAGGTCAGGTCAAGTGAGGTCAAATTTTGAAGTTGGTTGTTAAGGCCTAAAAAGGTGTCTATCTGATGCAGTTTTTCACGGCGAATCGAATGGTGCTATTTTTTTTTTTTAATTTATTTAGAAGCCAAACAACTGAGGACGAACGCATCTCATAACAAAACACAGGAAACGATGAGCACACAAACTGTTTCCCGAGCTATTTTTGTTTCCGTACGAGGTCTAGAACTTCCAAAAAAATGACTTTTCAAATTTTTTGTGTGTCGTGACGTCATAAAATCTTGAATAACTCCCACATTTGTGAACCGATTCTTCTAAAAATTGGTATGTAGGTGCACATAGACCACTTCTCTGACATATATTCCGGTTTTTTCGATACACTCAAAATTTTGGATTTTATAATTATTTTTCCAAAAAAGTCAGTTTTTTGAAAAAATTTGGGCCAAAATCCAAAATTTTCAAAAAACCGAGATAGCCATTTGATAGACCAAGTAAAATTACGTATAACCTTTTTTGTTACGTCTTGATTCCTTTAAAAATGAAGATGTTAGCGGCGTTTGAACTTTTGCCGTTTTTGAGGCGAAAATGGCGAACATGACGTCACTAAAACGTCAATTTCTCAAAAATTTTCCGACGGATTTCGCTCAAATTTTCAGGGAACGTGTCAAATGATGTAAGAAAAGGTACTGAAAGTTTGGCGGCGCTGCGCGCCGCCGTTTTTGAGATATTGCAAAAATTCGCGAGGGGGGGTAAAATTTACCCCCCCCCCCCCCAGCCCCGCGCGGGTTAAAGTTCAAACGGCTTCTGATAGGAATAGCTGACAAGCGAAACCTAACTTTGTCACAAAAGGTCATGGAAAGGTCATGGGTCACAAAAGGTCATGGAAAAGGTCATGGAAGGAAATGTATACATTTTTAAGGTCATGCGACACATCTTTAATGGTCCATTTCGGCAAAAGCATCTAAAAATGATGTCATCTGGGTCGTCCGATTCGAAACTATTTCCATTCGACAAATGATGGTCAGGTCACGGCGATGTCAAAAAGGTCAAATTTTGAAGTTGAACATTCTCAACAAAAAAGATGTGCATCGGATGCAATTTGAGCTCTGGAACACGATGATGCTATTCGTTTTGGTTTTCGATGTCAAGAACGTACTGAAATTGCCTTTGCAATATCGAAAATTGTGATTAACCAACTACGGTAAAATGCAAAAGCCGATAACATTGCCATTTCTGAAGATATCTGACTGAAACTTTCCAAAAGCAATGCAAATGTTACATAATACAAAAGCCAATAAGGTTCATTCTGGTCGATGGCTGCTCCCCAAAACTCTGAATGTTATCAACCATATCGGACATTCTTACGATGTTCTGTTGGCTGGATGTCTTTTTGCTTTATTGAATTTGATCAGACTACATTCAGTTAAGACGACGTACATTTATTGGTCACCAGAAAGTATACTCACAAGTCAATCGACAATCGACAACCAACAAATGCAAGACACGAGCGTCGAGCACCCCTCAGCACAAGCAACTGCCGGGGGCGATTAGACGGACCGCGCTCCTCTCTCGCAGCTGATTGGTCAGCTGCCGAACCGCACGGACGTAACCTGCACGGCCGCCGCCCGGCCGACCTGACCGGGGTCGGCCGGGCGGCGACCTAGCGTCACAAGAACTGCAATAACTTTTGCCGGCAGTGTGATGCCGACCTAATTTTTTCAGCAAATGAATCAAAATTGTACGATATATGTTATGGACGTTGTCTCGATGTGAAGCACGCTGTGCGTTTTTTGGTAGGCCTATGTAAATATTGAAATCCTCAAGCCCTTCTGCTTTGTGCAAGTGTGCAACAATTAGCTTACAATAACTGAGTGGGAAGTTTCTTAGATGCACTTTTGTTACCAATGGATTCCGCACATTTTCCCCTTTCAGCTGATATCTTACTTACGCATTTTCAAGCAAAGAATATGACCGGAGACTCGTCAACATTTACATGAAAATCGCAGCACAAGTTCGGTCTCACGGAGCAAAACAAAACGGTGTACTTTGGGAGCCCACCAATCTGTGCCAGAATGAGTAATATTTTTTCTGGGTGATATTTTATACAGCGTGATCAATTTACGACCAGAAAATGTGTGAAAATCACGCTTTAAAATTTGTCGAAAATTAGGGTATTGGCCACTTCTGAACCAGGATAGCGGCTGTGTGCTGCGTGGGTAGGGGAAGGGGTGAGGGTGGGGGATGTGCTCCGCCCTGCAGCGTTAGCGATCCTCCCCCCTCCCTTTTGCAGCTATACATAGGTATGTAGTCAATGACAAGGCCATCGGCGCAGCCATGGTCCCAGTGCTGCGGACCTCGTCAGGCAGTAAACACCACGCGCCATGGGTCTCCCGTCTGTCTCTGTGGGCGCCATCGTCGCTGCACTGCTTCTGGTTTCAGGTGAGATCCCCCGGCACAGAACTGACGTCTAGGCAGATGTACCACTAAATATGCTCAAATTTATATGCTGGAAAAAGTTATTGGATAATGTATTGCGTGCGCACGTGCAGGGTGCCGCTTCTAGATCTCGAGAACGGCTGGGCCGATTGTGCTCAAATTTGGCACATCGCTAGAGACCGATTAGTAAGGTGCCGTGCACAAGTCAGTTGGAGGTACCCCCTCGCAATTTCGCACGTGCAAGGCCCACCCTCTCGCTCGCTCCGTTAGTCGCCGCAAAAGGCGTTATACTGGTTATAGGTATGGAATTATGCATGCATAACAGAACTGTGCACATGGATGCCACTCGGAACAAAAAAAAAAACGAAAAAAAACAAAAAACACATAAGCCGCGAAAACGCAGAAACCGAAACCCAAGCCCTGACTGGACAACTTCGCTCTGCGGACAGGTGCCGCTGCCTCGATGTTTGTCACCGACCAGATCCAGCCGACGTTCTCGCTCCTGAAGTCGAGGGGGTGTCTGCCGGATGACTTCAACAACTCGGCCTCTAAACCCGCCGCTCCCAACTGCATGAATCTGGTCAGCGACGGTGATCTTCCAAAGACATGTGAGGGCGTTCCTCGCCTCTCGCTGTTTTACGTCTGCTACGCTAAAAGGCCAGCAGAACACTAATACGGCGTTTGGACTGGTGCCATTTGTTTACTGGTGCGTGCATACTGCAGTGTTGCAGTTGCCAACCAGCGCAGGGCGATGGTCCAATCATGACACATATAGGGCGGGGAGGGGGAAGCGTTTTAGTCCTCCATCTAACTCAGCTTCTGCGCACCACGTACCGACAGGCGGCACTGGAAGTTTGGTTGCTGTTGCCGCCTTTTACGCAGGCTACTTGTAAAAAAAAAGGAGTTCTGTTAAAGATCGTTGCCGCCTTTTACGAGGACCAATGTGCTCCCTTTACTGTACATGGAGGGTGACCAGAGAAGCCTGTGCTTCACTATAGACAAAGCTAGAGTGATGGAAACATGTAAAAAAACGTAATGTTTCACATTGGAACGCCCCTTTGTTCCGCAGCCAGGGGATGCTGGGCGATACACCCACCCCGCCGACGGGCGATAAACTGGAAGAGGCCATCGCGTTCCTGCTCGCCCAGATGAAGGGCCGCAAATCCAAGTACACCAGTGACGCCGGCTGGATCATCAAAGCCTACCAGATCATGGACGAGTGTGCGGCGCAGCGCGCGGCGGGCCTGTCGCTGCCGCGGGCTGCCGTCTACAGTCTGACTCTGCACTGCCTGCGCTGGTCGTGGTTCGTCGACTGTGACCGGCAACAGGAGGAGCGTGGCGAGCTGGACGCGGCCGGCGCCAGACGCCGAGCCGCCTTCCTCTGCGGTCAGTGTCCGCTCAGCCCGGCCTCCCTGCGGGCCGTCCTGGAGAGCGCCACCAGTCGCACCCTGCAACAGTGTGACACGGGCGATCCGGCCGAGGAAGACCCCCACCAGAGGTACGCCGATGGTGTTGCGAAGGTTATCAGCCTTCTAGAGGACTTTCAGAGCGGCAACAAGCTCAAGTATGACGAACTGCAGAGCGCCGTCACCAACGAGCTCTCTGGTGCCAACAGCGAGATGGCCGAGAAGCTGATGAAGGTTTTATTCTTGTGCGAGTCCACCAAGACGAGCGAGGACTTCGTCAAGGCTGGGCGGAGATCGGCGTGCTCAGCTGCATTTATCAGGAGGCCAACAAGGTGGCTGCCGCGTTTCCTGATCAGTGTAAACTGTCCACCTGAGCAGGGGACGGTGTAATCTGTTCGCCTGAGTCGGGAGCAGAAGGCCAAGATGGCTGGGGCTGGGTACTGGGAGACGGGGTATCATGACTTCAGGCTGCTTTTCCGCCCGGAGAAGGGATTGTATTGCCACCTGCTGCCGTTATTTTAACCTTTAAGCGTCACAAAGTGAATAAAACTAAGTTTACATTTTAATCTGCTGTTTTACCTTTTGGCAGGGTGTTTCTAATCTAATTTAAACAGCGCGTAATGTTTTTGTTTTTTGCGTTTTTTTTGGGGGGGATTTAGTTTATTTGCATCTTAATCTTTTTGATGCCTCCTGGTTTATCCAGCGTTCCTCAAATTTCCTTCCAAATTGTCCGGCGACGATGCATGGGCGGCTCCAAATACAGCCGCCCACAGCCCCATACAATGGGACGTCTGCAGATAAGGCAGGGTGTCGTTTTGCCCTTAGGTCGCAAATGGCGGCGAGTTGTCTCAGTGACTCAGATAAGCCGCACGTGAAAGAACAGCGAGCTAAGATAGACCTGCTGATGCTACTGATGGAAACACTGCAGGGATGAATTGGTACAGCGACAACAGCTGCTGAGTGCATCAGATAGCGCAATTGGAAAGTAAGCATTGATAAACCGTTTGCTGACAACCGTAGTGTATAAATATTCAGGTAGTTATTATAAGCTCCACAAACAAATTTTTATCAAAAACACATGGATGTATCATGCCGCTCAGCTTTCACGTTTTATTTTCGCACAAATTCATCGGATGCTACAAAGTTGTTGAACAGACGCTGAACATCGGCACGACATACTAAACCCACACGGCATCTTCCAAGTCACCCTCCAAATTACCCACCACCCTTCCCTTTCAGGCCCCCGCACCCTTCTGCAGCATCCGGAGGATAATTATGTCGAGTGCCTCTCGCTCCTTCACAAAGCCGAGCTTAACGGACGTCATTTGGGTCGTATTCTGCAGTAAATCGGCGGCAAATTAGACCGTAAGGGTGTGATAAAAGCGTCGTCATTTGCTGTTCCCCTCAACGGCTCAAGTTAGAACTTGTCGTTCATCCAATATTATTCACTCAGGATTAATGTCATAAATGGCGTTAATAGCAAATAACATGCCGTAATTATTTTCCTATTTCGAGATTGCGCAAAGGATTTTCTTGAATGTCTCTTACAACTAATAAGTTGTAATCAGTGAACAGTTCCGATTGTAATGTACCCCTACCCTACTCAAGAAAATACATATGTATGTACTTACGCACCAACCAACCGTGGCATCTTCACTGCTTCGTACACTTAAATACAACATATGCAATATGCATAATAACGTAAACAAATGCCCGATTAAACAATTAAAAAACTACCATTTATTTCATTCCTAAAGAAGCTATACCGACATATGTTACATTTGTGCATGACATTTGACAGCATTCGCGCCACATCACAACCCCTAATGCCGTGGGCAGCAGATGTCTCCCGATACGCTTCACACACAGACAGCACTGAGCGATGGGAGGCATCCGTCACCATTGGTAATCTCCTGATAAGTAATGGGCTCGGTCGGGAGAGAGCCAGCTATGACTCAGTGGACTTCCACGAGGGGCGTCCAGAGATGAGCCCGAGGGTAGATAAGGGCGTAATGACGCACAGATGGAGGCGAAAATGTAGCTGAAATGACCCAATCGGACTAAGCAAAGAGAGGAGTTGGTTGTTTGGGATTGAGACATGTTGTCTGTTGCTACTTGCTAGATATTGGAAAAGGATCATTCAAACACAGCAAAACTTCTCCTTTTGCATTCGTTTATAGCTGTTTAAATGAAGACATTTCGCCATTGCCGCTCCGCAAGAGCCGAAGTTTTAGCAAGGTATTTATTTGTGTGTCGCGCCGTTTCGACTGAACTGATTGATGACACTTGTCACACACAGGTGAAAAGTAGCGGTACCTACTCAACTGAAGTCTCGGCTTAAAACTTGAGCTTATTTGAAATTATTCCCTTGTCTTTTTGCTTTTTTTGGGGGGGGGGGACGCGTGCCCCGCATGCCCTATCGCCCCAAAAAGCCATATTGTTCCTCATTTTGACATTTTTTTAGCATAAGCCCATTCACCGTTTTTTTTTTTTTGTCTTGTTTTGAATTTTTGACCATTCTGCTTACAGCATTGTCAATTTGTTCAGCAACTCCGTCTGCAGGCACATATCCACCCCAATTCTTATCTGTCGGCGGCACAATCACGGCTAAAGCGTCTGTTGTGGTTAAAAAGACGTGCAAGAAGTTCGCGCCAGAGCTCGCCAGAACAGTACAGGCTATCAGCAGTGATAACAAACCGGGCAGGTAAAAACTGCGCCCTGTCGGCTATCTCCGACGTGCCACAGCGGTGAACAAAAACAGAAACGAACCGGAAGTGAGAGCTGCTGAAAGGGAACGTCATTTTTGGTGACGTTAAGTTGTAATTGAGCTTGTTCAGTAGCTGAATAATTAGCGTTGCTATGTTTATCTAGACGGATGCATTTTTATTGCAATAAACTTGCCTTCAAATGTTTCTTTAACATTTCCAGATGTTTCCCATGTGTCCCTTGGCCTTACCTGATGCGCTGTTGAGGCGTTCAGTCGCCGGGTCAGTGACCTGACCCTCCTGAGCAGGCTGTGCTCTCGGCGTCTGGACAGGGCGGCCATCTGTTCCAGGTAGCTCTCCAGCAGCGCTATCTGCCTCTGCTGGGTCCGGACACAGCGCTGCAGAAGAGGGAGTTCACTGGACTGACCCAGAGCCGTCTCACTCAGGGGGCAGAGGTCGTCAGGTGGTGTCTCAGACTCTGCGCCCGGGTCAGTGAGGTCAATGAGGTCACTGTCGCGCACTTCTGGTAAAGGCGGTAGGTCGGTCCAGTCCCCCGAGAGGTCACTGGTTTCACTGACAGAATCGCCATCGCTCGGGTCGTCATCATCGTGAAATGGTTCAGAAGTATCACGCATTTTTCCCTGTACACAATCACTTTCTTCATCTTCAGCGTCCATTCCGTCAATTTCCTGACCCTTCACTGGACGATTACAGCTGCACGCAGCTAACCCGTTTGTCTCGACCACTGGCTTTCCTGAAGGACTTGAAGGATGACCTCCTGGTTCCCCATCAGTATTCTGCAAATTGCAATCCAGATCCCCCAGATCACTCAGTTGAAACTCTAATGGTGCGGTCAGATCCCTCAGGCAACACTCTGAAGTCACCTGCAGATCACTCAGGTCACTGACAGCCGGTTCCGCCATCTGGAGGTCACTCTCCTCTGTTGTCTGAATCACAGACATCCTGTCCCGTAGAACAAACCCTAGACACTGACGGATGCGGCGCAGCTGCGCTCATTGTGACCGAGCTGGTGATGAGGGAGGCGGCTGACTTTGGCCCCTGTTCACCGGCCGCCGTCAGCTGCTCGCAGTTCTTTGCGACTGTTGAACGTGTCTCGGAGAAGTGATGTCATCTCGCGGAAGTGGGACGCCCGGTCAACAGGAATGTCCGGCCAAGTAGCAGTCTGTGGAGCGACACACAAGACATCAGCAAAGCTGGAGCTGCAAGGACAGGTGTGAAATGAAGGGTAGTCTAGAAGCAATAAATAAGCCCAGACCCGTAAAACACCGTGTTTATGAAATATGTTTGTAAATATGGAACAAGAAAAATACATGATAAAATAGGTTCTGATGAGCAACATAAAATTGAGATAGGTATTTGCGAAAACCCACGTGGAGGGGGTGTTCAAACACCCCCCCCCCCACCCCAGCAGGGCAAGGGTTAAGTTATACTTAAGATGTGCTTAACTTTTAAAGTACACTTAAGCAAGCAAAAAAGCATAGCATTCGACGCGTCTTGACGTGCTGAGTTCACTGGTGCTTTTGTTTTTGCTCTATCTTAATTAGATCAAAAAATTTAAGCGAAAAACGTTTGACCTGTTAAAGCATTTTTTTACATTTGGGGCATTCCACGATAGATCGACCAAGGCCTAACACCCGACCATTTTTGATTTTGATGAAATCTTGTCTATAGGGTTCTCTTATGCCCTGAAGTCAATGGTGACAACGCCAGGCCCCTACGGTCAGCGGTTTAGGAGATATAGCCCCGGGCATTTTGACGAGGTCACTCTGCAGAGTGATTTTTGAGGTGCTATATCTCCTAAAGTAATGAAGGAAATGCATTAAACCTGTACATCGTTGTGATGGCGGTGAAATGAGCAATTTATTAGCTATCTCGGATTTCCAAAAAAGTTATTTTGATTTTTAGCTGTGACGTCATCAATTTTTAAATTTTCTGGCTACCCCCCTAGTACATTAAAATTTGTCATTATTTTTGCTCAGAAATATAGATCGGTCAATGTTCTTTTGACTGTCAAAAAATAAAAATGGTAATCTTTCTATAAATATTTTATTTTATTTTTTGAAAACAACTCTGTAATATGAAATTTGCATACATTTGCTCTGAAACGACAAATAGGTGCAGCTGGCACGGACAGTGGAAGGACTGGATTTATAAAACACCTAAATAATATTTTCTTGAATATTTTTCGCAACTGGAACAAAGCGTAAGATATTTTAATCTAACCCTCGCCGGCCGAGGGGGGGGGGCGGGTGCCGCCCCCCCCCCCCCATAGGGTTTTTTCGCGATAGCTCCGAACACGCCGGCGGTAGAGAGCTGAAACTTGGCATACCTGACCTTTGATCCAAGCCGCATCTTTTGACACCAACCGCATTTTTGGGTCAGGTCAGGTCACTGACCTATGACGTCATAAGTGAACCTCTGCACGGTCTTCAGATGTCGCAACTTCGCAACGCCCTCACTGCCAGAGGAGATGTCACAGGGAAATGAAACTTGCAGGATCTAGTATCCATTATGAGTCTCACAACTTGTATATCTCGGATTTTTCCTAAAGGTCATATGAGGTCAGGTCATTTTCGTGACCTCACCATTATAAGTCAATGGGGAAAAATGAAAACTGCTATTCTGGCGCCGGGAACGATCTCCAACTATCTCAAGCACACAGAATCGTGATTTGATGCACTCCTTGCAAGGTTAGATGCGTCACTTTTGCAATGTTGACCTTTCGTGACGTCATTTATGACGTCATCAAGGTCATATTAGTTTTTCGTCAATAACTCTTGATCAAATTGAGCTAGCGAGCCGGGAAAGCCACCAATGGACTCAGGAAGACCTGCCGAATCGAATGATATGCGACATGACCCCTTTAGACCAACTTCGTGACCTTAGGGTGCTGACCTGACCTTGACCTGAGGTCAACACCCCAAGTTGACCTGACCCGAACAAAAAGTATATCATTCGACGCGCCTGAGCGAGGCCAACACGATGCTGCCAAAATCGCGGCTCTGCGGCCATTTTCCGCGAAGTTATTCACCAAAAACTGAACCGTACCTTTGGGCACTTGACCTGACCTCAGAGGTCACCGGTTGACCTAGGACCTTAAAATCGGGTACCAATCTCTGCGTCTCGTAACGGCGCACACGCTCGTTTTTTCCGCGACGCGCTAGCTCCACCAGGGGCGAAACGGCGAGGGGGGGTCGTACCCGCCCCCCCCCCCCCCCCTCGGCCGGGGCGTATGTAGAAAACCAATAGGTCCGGCGAGGGTTAACATTCTGTATTTCCCTACATATATGCCGAAACCCAGATAACCTCTTTTTGGAAGTAACTGGTCCTCGCAGATGTGTCTTATATTGCTTAATAACCCGATTCTGTAAATCAGAGTTTGTAGTGCGATTTTCAAAAAAATAAAATAAAATATTTGTAGAAAGATTACCATTTTTGTTTTTTTCCAGTCGAAAGGAAATTGACGGAACTTTATTTCTGAGCAAAAATAATGGCAAATTTTAATGTACTAGGGGGGTAGCCAGAAAGTTTAAAAATTGATGACGTCACAGCTAAAAATCAAAATCATTTTTTTGAAAATCCGAGATGGCCAATTAATTGCCCATTTCACCACGATCACAACGATGCAAAGGTTTAATGCATTTCCTTCATTCCTTTAGGAGATATAGCACTTCAAAAATCACTCTGCAGAGTGACCTCGTCAAAATGCCCGGGGCTATATCTCCTAAACCGCTGACCGTAGGGGTCTGGCGTTGTCACCATTGACTTCAGGGCATAAGAGAACCCTGTAGACAAGATTTCATCAAAATCAAAAATGGTCGGGTGTAAATCTGATAAAATTTTGGTCGATCTATCGTGGAATGCCCCATTTATGCCCTCCAAATCCACACTAGAAAATATTGACCTAGAGCAACCAAATCTGCACAGGGGCGAGGATTCCAGGGGGCCCACCTACCTACCAAATTTGGTGTTTCTAGGTGCCATAGGAGCCAATGGTGCGGGGTGGGGGTCGCATCGATCCCCCCCCCCCCCCTGTCAGGCCGTGTTATGTAAAATGTCAGGCCAGGGCAAGGGTTAAGTAGCATAGATTAAAAATCGTACATATTGAAGCGCTAACCTTTTTCAACCGATCAGTTACAGTTTTGAAGCAATCTAAGTTCTTTGCAAATTCTCTCACCTCTGGTCCCTGATGCGCTGTCTTCGACACTGGCCACCGCCTCCTCCCACCACCGTCCTCACTGGTCCTCGGTCGGCAGCGGACAGGGACAGGGCGGCGACGCGTCGGTGCCCCCTGCGCCCCTCCCCCGACTTCAGGGAGGGGCCCAACGACGAGCGTCGAACTGACCCCGTCGCAGCCGACGCCCTACACGTGCCGCCCGACCCGCCCCGTCATTGGAGACGACGCGTCATCGCCGGCACGTCATCGAGGGGGGGGGGGGGGGCGTCACTCTGACGGCACGCGGCGAGGGGGACAATATCCGGAGCGAAATGAGCCTTGCGGCATTGTTTGCGGGATTGAGAGGCACTGGGATGGGGAATGTGTTGGATCAGTGACGCAGGCATCTGAGAGGAGGGAGGGGGAGAGAGAATGGGAGGAGAGAGAGAGAGAGAGAGAGAGAGAGAGAGAGAGAGAGAGAAAGAGAGAGAGAGAGGAGAGGGAGGAGAGAGGAGAAGGGAGGAGAGAGAGAGAGAGAGAGAGAGAGAGAGAGAGAGAGAAAGAGAGCGAGAGCGAGAGAGAGAGAGAGAGAGAGAGAGAGAGAGAGAGAGAGAGGGAGAGGGAGGGAGGGAGAGATAGAGGAGAGGGAGATAGAGAGAGAAGGGGGGGGAGTAAGGGGCAAGATTCTTTTGGCATGAGACTTTGCAACTACTTAGGCTGACTTTTTATCGATGACACCGATTTATTAACTTTTTGTGAAAATACGGGGAAAATCTTGGGATGCGGCTTAGATTTATATGGGCTTTGAAACGTGCAAGTATGATGGTTATCTTTCACATCAAGCAGTCTAATAAATGCATTTTTCCTTTGCCACCCCAGTAAACATGACGACGTCGGCCCGACGTCGGGCCGAGGCTCGGCCCGACGTCGGCCCAACGTCGGTTCAACCTCGGCCCGACATCGGCTGGACGTCGGATATGCCCGCATGTTCCGACGTCCAGCCGAAGTCCAGCCGACGTCGAGCCGACGTCGGGCCGAGATCGTTTGCCGAGGTTGACGAGATCGTTTGTCGTTGGACAGACGGGGCCGGCACTGAACAATATCAACCGGCGGCGGGATTCGAGCCCCCCAGTCGCCGACGTCGGCATGTTTACTGGGACAACACGCCAAGAGCATCAGCCGGCGAAGGGATTCGAACCCCGTGTCATTCGAACGCGAGGTTAGTGCTCTAACCACTACACCACGCAGCCAGATGATAAATGTGGTTTGTTTTGTTGCGTTATGCCCTTTCGGTCTGACAAGACCATTTCAGAGCCGGAAGGATCATAGGATGGAGACATTGGTCTTCTTGGCGAGCACCCTGGGTCCAGTTCATATAGAGTCCCTGGTCCCATTGCTGTTACGCATGACACTTATTGGAAAGGGCGATCCCACAATGGATTCATATAGCCACTCTTACACACCTGCACCAACGTTTCCCAAAATGTCCCTTTGATAAGTGGCACTTTGGCAAAGTGACACTTGCCGACTGGCCTTTCTATATGAACTGGGCCCGGCCCTGGTGAGTTGCCGGGGCTGAGCCTGACCAAAGGATAGGCCGAGCAGCCCCCAAGCACTCACCGCACCCGGCTACGGGCGAGCTCGGCTTACGGGCAATCCCAAATGGGATAAAGTTTCCCGCCCAGTCCGGATCAGGGGGTTGCGGCGTGGAGGAAGATTTGAGTTTCCTGAGGATATTTTGGATACAGAAGCTCTTTATGAAACATGAAACATGTATTTTATATTATTTTAACGGTCAAAACAGCGGCCGATGTCGGTCCGACGTCGGCCCGACGTCGGCTGGACCTCAGCAATTGATCTCGGTCCGAAGTCGGCCCGACGTCGGCTGGACCTCGGCTGGACGTCGGAACATGCGGGCATATCCGACATCCAGCCGACGTCGTGCCGAGGTTGGACCGACGTCGGGCCGACGTCGGCATGCCGATGCCGAGTTGCCGACGTCGGCCGACGTCGGGCCGACGTCGGCATGTTTACTGGGACATAAATATAATGATATACCTAGGTATAGAAACACGCCATGATTATTCCATTTTATTGACCATGTTGTTGGCGTGCTGCAGGAGCCACGATACGAAGACATAACGAAGGCTGTGGAATTCGAAATGGAACACGACCTCTCCGCATGAGTATCAAATCGAATCGTTTATTTACAGTCAGAGGGAAATACAAATTCATGTCATGTAAACTTCCTGTACAGCACAAATGATAATGCATACCAATGCCCGAGACTTGAATCTGGAACTAGAGTATAAATTATTAAGTCGCTTCTCGTAAAAAAGCTATCGACTTTTGCTTTTCAGTGAGTAAGACGTGAGACTCAACAAAGCCATCTAAAAAGTACAAATTAAACGAGGAAAGAGAACATATGCTTCATTAAACGCAGCACCATGTAGCTGATCCGTCCAGCTATCCAAGACTATCTACTCTACCAAGTATCGTGTTAAGCAATGCGCTTAGGACCCATGTCGACGTACGATTGCGGTATCAAAAGTCACCAGCCTCCCCTCCCGGGTGCCCTCCCCTCCCGCACACCGTACCTGCTTGCGATCACAGTTGGCTGACTAAAAACACAGCGGCTATGTACACGGACCTCAAACAACAAAACGACAGTGGCTGGCGCGCACAAGACGAAATCGGCGATATTGTATGTAAACCGGCGCACCGACACCGTCAGCCGCGGAACGCACCCGTACAAAAATGATCGTCTGACAATGCTCAACACGAGAACAAGAGGAAATGCAAAGACAGTCGATAGAAAACGTACATGACGCCTGTAAAAACGCGCAGACATTTGCTCACGCAGCTGCTTCAATCGCTCCTCTTTGGTGATCGTCATCGACGACAACCGTCACGACGAGTCTCATGACGTCAGAGGGAAAATCGACGAGACAGCACGACAGCCGGATCCAAAAACAAAGCCGACACACAGGCATTTCTCCTAAAAAAAAATCACAGAGGGGATAGCTAGAAAGAAATAAAATAAAAAGAAGAGTGGCAGCCTTCAGTCTGCGAGAGGGACACTCCAATATGTAAACAAAGATTCCTCACACCCCAGCGTAGTACACAAACAATAACACAAATCCATTCCAATGCGGTAACCTGGAGATCATACGCGACCTTCCGGAAACACGAACGCTATCAAACTAAGCTCTTGTTCGGAAACACAGTGAACGCTTGTCTCTAAGAAATCTATCTACTCACTGAAGGATACCCCCGGATAGTTTTTCGACACAAGTACCATAGACGAGATAGGCTTGGTCTCTCAGCAAAGCTGCAAAGATGAGTACATTTCCAGAAGACCATCGGGTCTTGATCCCACATGTAGATGGGTGACCCACACAATAAGGTCTCCCTTACACAATATCAAAGCACCAAAGAACATCACACGCCTAATCGAACACACTCGGGACAATTAGTAAACACAGCGTCTCCCCTTGCCACTCTGGGTTCTGTGACTCGAGGCGGACACTCCGTGGGGCAGGCGGAGCACACCTCCGGGCAGTGTGTGACCCTCTCAGGACAGTCGGGGGCACATTGGCACGTGCACTCTGCCAGTCTGACGTCTCTCCGTTTCTTCCACTCCCGTCCGCGTCTCTGGCCTCCCTTGGTGCGGCCCGCTGCGTTCGGGTCCTGTCAGACACACTCGGCAGGCACGTAGCACTCGCGGCCGTCGGGGGGCACACGCATCGTACCGCTGTGCAGACTGCGTGGCCGCAGCAGGGACTCCGCCTCCGACTGACTGCTGGGGGACTGCGGCAGCGTCGGCCGCACCAGGCCCTCCATGGCGTGGTACAGCATCGTGAAGTCGTCCTGAAACGGGGGAGGGCCGAAATAAAACGCTGCTAAATTCGGAAAGAAAAGCGCTATAGAAGATCATCAAACCATTGAGAGACAAGTTCCTCCCACATCAGCCGAAAATGTCTGCCTACGAGGATAAGATACGGTTGATCTAGCCAACTCGGTTATAAAGCTTTACCTGAGTTCTCCAGATGCCCGGCCGCCGCATGTGGTACAGCTTGGCATACAGGTAGACATCGATCGAGTTCTCGTTCATCAGCTGCTTCGACAACGTCGTCAAGCAGCAGAACGTCGCCGCTTCGGTGCCACCGAATCTGTAGAGAAGAGAGAACACCGTGAAAAGGCTGGTATCTATCGTACACCGACTGGGCTCGAAGACGAGGGAGTGTCAGAAGGAAATGCGTCATACGTGAGTCGACGATAACTTACAGGTGCACAATGTTCGACAATCAAGTATTTCTCAACAAAATCTGTAATCACTTACCAAAATATGTTACCAGTATACCTACAGCTACACACGACAAATATCGAATAAGCAGTCAACACTCTAGCCATTTCCCCAGCCCTCCAACTACCAACCTGTCGACCACGACGATGGGTCCATTCTGGTACTTGAGCGTTGCCTGCTGGACGCCATCGATCAGGTGATGGGGCGACCCTGCGGCGGCCGTGTGGGGCCACTCCGGGCAGCAGATGACCCGCACCGACACCTGGTAGTCGTCCTGACACGACTGAAGCACCAGGTCGACAGTGGCGAACGCCGATGCCGACGGAGCCGGCTCGTCGACGAAGCGGACCCGGAAGCTGTCTCCGTCCAGGTCATCATCAGGAGATGGCCAGAAGCGTGGAAAATGCTGCGGAAGGAGAGATGTAGACGTGACTGCCCTGTCAATGCTTTGCTGATAAAGATGGAGACACATTAGAACCATGCTTCAGCGAAAGATGATGGTTCTTGCTACTTAGCGCTCTTGGTAAAACTTGCGAAATCTTCACATGTATTCAGATGAGACAGACGTCAAAGAGCTCGCTACTCGCAAGATGGTCTGCTCATCTTCGACGATAAGCCTCTCGGAGTTCCTCCTACCCACCTGGTCATCGACAGGAGAGAGAACGACCACGGTCTGCACGTTATGCTCCCAGACCATCCTCCAGAAGTCGTCCACCGTGTGCGGCAGCGGGTGCTGCGTGATTATGAACTCGGACAGCTTCTCGTAGCCTGTCGAAACAGAGGAACACGTCTTTAGCGGATACTTTTGAGTTTTGACAGTTTTGTTTCAAGGTAATGCACATATCTGGTGCTTGAAACTACTAATTTCTACTCGAACTACTAGCGACATTACTCTACAACTGCACACTTAACCGTTTCTCTTGGTTTCCCGCTGCTCACACTGCGCTGGTTCCCGTTGCTTACCGATGAGTGGCGTAGCGTTGATGTAGTCGCTGCCCTCGATCCCAGGTCTCGGCGACAGGTGCACTCTCCACCGGTCCACGGGAACAAACTGGGCACACCGGTTCCTCGCCTGGTTACAGGGAGTTAGCGCCGGGGCCAGGTCCACCTCCGTCGGACGGTACGAGGTCACCAGCTGGGGAGAAAACAACAGGGGTATATCAGGGATATGCACTTGGACCGGTAATCCTGATCGCTCTTACCGTATTGTGGCATCGAGCAGCGTCTTAATCGATAAGATATGCCTTATCACATCAAAATCCTAGCCCAACAAATCAAACAAACCTAATCAAAAACTCCTAGTTATGCACTTATATCAGATGTTTGAGCTTTTCACACTTTACGAAGAGTTCAGGCATGTTATAAAGAACCTATGAAGTTTTATCACGAACCAATGTCAGTGTATCAGACTGTCCCATGATAACAACTCACCTGGTACTGCCGGTCCAGTGTGTAGCGCGGGAACTGTCCCGGCTCGTAGCACCGCAGCTGTTGTAGGTACTCTGTAAGCCGCGTGGCTCGCACGTCCGTCTCCCCGGCCTCCAGGGCCTCCAGCAGTGCGTCGTGTGTGAAGATGTACTGGTCCTCCGTCTGCACCAGGAAGTTGCGCTGTGTGCGGATGTGCTTCAGGAAGCCGAACACGTTGATGGTGCCTCGCTGCTTCAGCATGTTCATCATGGCGTCCAGCACGATGTAAGTCCCGGTTCGACCCACGCCGGCGCTGTGGACGGTGGATCGGTAGATCAGTATCGGGGTATTAGTATGCTTCCCTATACCCGGGGATTTAAATAAAGGAGAAGTTTGTAGCGGGAAACCAATTATTACGACAGGTGCTAAAAGGTGTTCATTTAACTCGAGGAAGTCAAACCGTACAACTAAAGGCAAACCTTGAGTCCGGATTGAACACTGTTTTTTTTTTTTTTTTTTTTTGAAAAGTGATAGAGTTGCTTCCTTCATGTCGCATTGCCCCAAATAGGACAGCCCTACAAATATGCCTTTGAAGTTTTCACATCACGAGTTTTGATTGTTAATCACTGATCTCTCACCTGCAGTGAACGAGGATGGGTCCCGCGCCAGCCCCGTTGGCCGCCGCCGACTTCCTCACGAAGCTGAGGATGGGCAGCGGATGGTCCGGCACCCCGTGGTCCGGCCAGCTGGTGTAGTGGTACTGGTAGATGATGCGCTCGCCAGAGACGCCCTTCTTCTTCTTGTGCTGTGGAGTAGGCAACAACGTTATCGAAGATAGAATGTAGCAACGTGAAAAGTCACTGGTTTTGCAATAATGTCTCATCCCCATCCCACAGCTCCAGGTTTGATGAGAAGACATGCCCCTGTACTCTGTAAACACGTGCAGCTATGCATGCCAAACATGTTACATAGCTTTCTGCACGTGTGAGAGCTCGAATCTTACCTTGATGTGCTTGATGAGCATCTTTCGTATGGTGTATGTAGCCAGTTCCCGCTGGTCGAGCAGTTCCACCTGAATCGGTCCGTACACCTCTGTGCCCTCCTTGGGCCAGTACATGTCACACTTTTTCTGGAACAAGGAGAACGCCAGCTTTTGTCAGAACGGCAAAAAAATATACTCACACAATTACGTTGCACAACATTCGTATAAGTTACTTGTAGTTGTCATGGCAATCATATTTATAAGGAAATTGTATATTTTACGGGCAATAGGTATGCTTACTGATTACGAGCGAGCGAGCGCAGCGAGCGAAGTGAGTCTTTTCAATATAACGGAAAAATCTCAGTATGAGCGGCCCGGCCCGGCCCGGCCCGGCCTGTAACGCTTTTGAGAGGCTTATATCTCAGCAACCGCTGGACCGATTGGCCTGCGGTCTTTTTTTGCTGGGTAGCCCCATCCCTTCTACCCCTTAATTGACTACTTTTGATACACCTCAGTGACCGTCGTGGCACGTGAAAAGTCAAGGGTGTTCAAGCTGTTTTGCAAAAGTAGTGATTTTGAGAGGCTCATATCTCAGCAGCCGCTTGGGCGATTGACTTGCGGTAATTTTTGTAGGGTATAGCAACATCCCTTCTACCAAAAATAGGATACTCTCGATGCATGTGGGTCACCCCCAGTGCACGTGCAAAATACAACAATAAGAGGTGTCAAATTTGTTCCCATTTTAATAACTCGGTAATTACTGGGGCGATTTCGCTGAAACTTGGCATACATACAGATAGTCACCCACCAGGCAATGCATTCCCATGTGTTGCGGTTAAGGTGCTACTGCACGTGCGCACGTGCAGGGGGCGTTTCCAGATCTCGAGAACGGCTGGGCCGATTGCGCTCAAATGTGGTACACGGTTGGGGACCAGTTACAAAGGGTGCCGTGCAAAAGTCAGTTTGGACCCCGTTTGCACGTGCGCACGTGCAGAATGCCGCTTCCAGATCTCAGGAACGGCTGGGCCGATTGCGTTCAAATTACGCTCAAATTACACCGCTAGCGACCGGTAAGAAGGGTGCTTTGCGCAACCCCGTTGGAAGTACCCTCTCGCCCTTCCGCACGTGCAGCCTGCAGGGCTCACTATCTCGCTCGCTGGTTCTTCGCCCAAAAGGCGTTTTACTGGTTTATAAGTAAACCGTTCTGCACAACTAAATCGCTTTACCAGCACAAATAGGACTTAGAAAGTTTACAGGATATAAGTTCTAAAACAATTGGCGAGCGCATACGACGGTAGCGTTAAAACATCTGGACCCGGGGACTAAGTAGCGAGCGCATAGCTCAGTAGCTCACCCTGTTCCTCTCCACGAGGTTGGTGATCATGACGACGATCTGGACGCGCTGCTCCCAGATGAGTCGCCAGAAGGCGCCGAAGGTGCCCGTCAGGGGCCCCTGGGCGCCGATGTACTGGTTGCGGACCAGGTAGCCGTCTATGTAGTTGGCGTTGATGTAGTCGCCTCGCCGCTGACCCGGCAGCGGCCGCAGAGGTACCAGAGTGTGGTCGTCTGTGGGAAGGGCGGGTTGGAGTCAGGCTTGCCGTGCAAGGCTCAGTCGTTGGAAATTCACGTCATTTCATTTATCAGTGCGTTTGCTTGAGCCGCATGTGCACTCGAAACGACAAAGCCTCAAGCACAAAGTCGCACAACTCTTCGAACTATCCCTTCCTAATTTTGTCTTCCAAATCTCGTCTGAAACGGCACACGAGCGCTACTGGCCACTAGACAACAGCAAGACAGTCAAGTGGAAGCGACTCACATGCGTCGATGTTTTGGTATCTGTTCTTCAGTTTGTTCTCCTCGGTTTGTGATACCTCCGAGGACAGCCCCAGTTTCATGGTGTGCTCCAGCACCTCGTCGTACTCCTTGCAGAACCCTGCGAGCCCAAGTTAGAGGTACATGAGTGGCTACAACTGATAACGGTTACGTCATCGTCACCGTGATTATTTTGGTTGTTTATAGGTTACATACTTTAACTATTACAAATCTTAGCCATACCCAAAGATAGCGGCGATAGCCAATTCGGGCGCATTGAAAATAACCAAGCAATAACCGAGCCAGCGACGTGAAGATAACCGAGCAATACCAAGCGAGCGAGTTGACAATTATACTTAACAGCATGTTGTATTTGTACGATATACGATAATAACAGGTCGACTGAAGAACACCAACTCACCGATGTCGGCATCGGCGTGCAGGGTGGCCACGTGCACTGGAAAGGCGTCGGCAGGGATGGGACCCTGCGTGCCGTTCGGTCCGTCTCGCTGCCAGGCCGGCTCGGAGGTCAGAGCAACCCGGGGGGTCACCGGGTCATCCAGGTAATAGTAGGATGACTGGAAGTAGCGCCTGTGGAACGAGCAGAGGTCAACCAGGAGGTACACTCGAGCGTCAATGATGGAGTTGAAAGAAGGCGGATTGCAAGCTGAAACCTTTCGAAAACTGGAGAAAACCTGCACGAAAGCACGAAGAGGTTTCAATTTCTGTCTCATTTTAATTTTTAATTTCTGTAGATGGACAGAGAGCGATCAGCCCGCGAAGACTATCTACATAGAGTATATCCCAGACCATTCAACGGTTTCAACATAGGCCCGTTGGTACCCACCTCCAGATGGCGAGTGCCAGCAGCGCCAGCAGGAAGGCGCAGCTGGCACACACGATGCCGGCGATGACGCCCGGGTCCAGCTCCTGGCCGCGCCCCAGGCGGCGCCACACGTCAGAGGTGGCGCCACCGTCGCCCCGGCGCCGGCAGTGGCGCCGCGGCCGGCCGGTCAGAGGAGCCGAGAGAGGAGAGAGGAGCAGAGCAGAGGGACGGTGGAGAGAGCGCGTGGCCGCCCGCAGCCGCACCTCGTACACAGCCTCGGCGGTCAGGTTCGGCAGCAGAAACTGTGGGAGGAAGACCGACCAGTCAGTCAGCGAGAGAAATCAGAAACCAATAAATATTGCGTACTCCCAGGTTTCACGGCACAAATTGGCAGCGAGCTACCGCACCGGGTAAAGTCAAATCTGGCAAGAACTATTCGAAAATATTACTGATGATAAAGACAAAATGAAACGCATTATAAACAGTAGGGGCCAGCAACAAACGAAACCAGAGTCACGACACCGACATTCAGTACCCGCTCCAGCCCTCCCCTGACACTTCCCTCCCAACCACTGACCCTGCTCTCCTCGTTGGCAGTATCGGTAGTGACCTGCAGGTCGGTGACGGGCCCCTGCAGCTCGCCGTCCGTCCTGCTGTAGCTGACCACGTAGTAGTCGATGCCGCCGCTGAAGACCCGCGGTCGTCGCCAGCGCAGCAGGAGGCCTCCGTCCGCCTTACATGTGACCGAGCTGAGCCGCGGCGGCGACGGTGGCGAGACGTCCGTGGTGACAGCGACAGAGACCGACTCTCGGCCCTCCACACTGCGCGTGAACGCCTTCACCGAGATAGAGTAGTTGGAGAATGGAGCTGTGAATAAGAGGGAGAAGCCGAGGAGGCGTCAGTTGGAGAACGGAGCTGTGAAGAAGAGGGACAAGCCGGGGAGGCGTCAGTTGGTGAACGGAGTTGTGAAGAAGAGGGACAAGCCGGGGAGGCGTCAGTTGGAGACGGAGCTGTGGAGAAGAGGGACAAGGGAATCGTAAGTTGAAGGAGGGAATTGAAACGGCGCTGAATAGGGGTTTGACGGGCCTTGCAAGGGCTTTGATCGATAGAAAACGCAGCGCTAGGCACGTGAAGATACGCGTTGAAAATGGTGGAAATCGTAGATGTTACGGATCTTTGCAAAAAAAAAAATAATGAAGGAAAATGGATTATAATTGTCCATGATTCCTGTCTATGAAAGTTCCAGTAATTGGTAACAATAATAAGGGATTTAATGTCTGCTTTAGATCAGAAACATCCCTTCGAAAGCAGTCTAATGCTATCATTTTATTTCGGCATACGTGGCATGAAGTAGATGGCTTGAAGTACGAGTAGGTACGCATTAATAGGTAAATACTTTTCGGGCATTCAGTCATCGACATCGTGCTCCTTCTAAGATAAAGGAGGGGGCTTATATAAAAGTCACATATTATATTTGTCGTAACTCCTTACAACTTGGGCCGTGCGCAGTACGTTGCGAGCAGTAAAAGCGCAATTAGCTACTTCCCTAATAAGTCGTTACAGAGGGAAATGTAACAACTACTCGAACGGTAATAACGAGGCACCTAATTGGCGGGCGCCACATTTACATGTTATGGGGAGCATGAATATACAATGACGAATTATTCAAATGAGCATGTCAGCAAAGTTACCTTGTTAAATCCGTTTGGGTTTGATCAGAGACCAGACAATCAATGTCATGTGCGTAGGACCGAAATGTTTGGATTAGTATTCACCCGGCAAATGCTTACTCGAGCGTCAATAATTTTAATCCCAATCAACGATGGTGCAGTTTCTGAATGCATGTCTTTGAACGATGTCTCTGTGGTTAAGCGTACGATTGTATTGTAATGCGCAGTCGTAATGGGTTGCGACAACATAGTACAATTTTCTAGAAGGACCGGAGCTCATTCTAGCCCAGACCTTTAGTATATCCTTGACATTATGTGCACGCATCCGGCGTTGGCACGCGATGCACACATGTTCACATTCGGAGAAATGATAACGGCATTCTACAATAGCTGTCATTGATATCTGTCAACACTGTCATCAGACACAAACTGACAAAGAATCACTGTCCATTCCTCGTATGACCCGCGTTTTTATAGTTACGCTGTGGAATTGCGTCCCCTCAATCTTGACCTCGACGAGCCAACAACGGAAGGTTTTTGTTCTGTCAGTAGATCAGTGTCGCTTTCAGACCCAAAGTCCATCGCGAGAAATGTGGGCCTCCGGCTTTTGAGGCTGTCTCACATAGGTCACCGTCACCTTCAGAAATAACTATCTATAGGGACCAGGAAACGCGACATAAAAATATATTGTAATAGTATGCTGATGGAGATAATAATGACGAATTATGTCATAAAAATATCCAAGGGTAAAGTCAAATGCCTGGGAAATGATGGTGAGTGAAATTCGAAAAGACGTGCTGCAAAAAATGTCAGTTTGCGCCATTTAACCCGCGCCCCACTGGGGGGGGGGGGCTATTTATAGCCCCCCCTCCAGTTTTTCTGCAATAACTTCCAAACCGCTTGACGTATCGACGCCAAACTTTCATTACCTTCGGCTGCATCAATTTGACACCTTGTGTCAAAATTTGAACTTCGTACCTACAATAGGTCGGCCGGAAATGACGTCAGAGTGACGTCATGTTCGGCCGATTTCGACGCAAAACATTGAACCACGGCAATCGCTCCCAAGAGCTCAGTTTTTAAGCTAGATCCAATTTCTTTGCATGAGAGGACTCAGAATAGACTGCGCTATCAAACTGCCATCTCAGATTTTCGAAATTTTGAAAGGTTCGAAAATTGTATATAATAAAATTCAAAATTTATATTTTTACATTTTTTTCAAAAAGTTTTTGACTTTTCGTAAAAACCTGAATATATGTGATAGAACGCATTATTATGACTAACTCTAGCAAGTTTTAGCTAAATATCTTCAAAAATGGCTAAGGTATACGCATTATTGCAAAAAATTAACAATTATTAATTTTTCAAATCAATTTTTCAGCACGAATTTGACATCGTACGCCAATATAAATAGCACCATCGTGTTCCTGAGCTCAAACTGCATCCAATAGACACCTTTTTTTGTTAAAATATTTTAACTTAAAAATTTAACCTTTTTTGACCTGAAAGTGTGACCTAAGCTAAATTCGACTCAAAATGACCTCGAATGACACAGACGACATCAAATTCGAAATGTTTGGCCTAAATGGACCATAAAACATGTGTCACGTGACCGACGGATGATATAATATTTTCGTGACCTGTGATGACCTGACCTTGACCTGAAAATCAAAGTACAAGTTTGGTACCCTCAGAGTATCTAGAGCATCTGTTCACGAGTGTGTGAACCATAAATGAGCCTGATCTGACTTGTAAGACGGCGGCCAGAGCCCAAAACGTGAAGAAGCCAAAATGCTAATAATTTTTACTTTGACCTGACCTGTGACGTCATCGGTGACCTCGAGGTCAATGAAATTAGGTTTCGCTCGACAGTTTTTCCGGGGCTATCAGACGCCGTTTGAATTTTAACGATCGGCCCAGTAGTTTCGGAGTTAGGAGGGGGGGGGGCTATGAATAGCCCCCCCCCCCCCCAGTAGGGCGTGTTATACGCAGACCCCAGTGGGGCGCGGGTTAACTGGTATGATAAAAACTTACTGTCACAACAGCAAAGTCTGCGCATGGTAAATGCCGTCAGCAAGAAGGAGAACGCTAAAAAATATTTTCTTCAGGCCGGCAGCTCAATCAATATCACATTTCGACCTTACCGATAAACGCAATCTCGACCGGTATCGCTAGAATCCGATAAAAGTTGGCCCGAGGAAAACACTTTCTTAAAAATGCATCCTAAAATAAAAGACACGGGCAAGCATACGTCCCGCTGCCAAACACAAAACAGCTAATCTAAATTTGGATATTGGATGCGTGTGTAACGCACGCTACGCATCTGCGGCAACTTTCGTTCCAAAGTTCTTACCGAGATCAGTGAGAGTGTGCTGCATGCGCTCGACGGGCAGTTTGATCCAGGTGGCGTTGGTGAAGTCGCCGGTGGTGAAGTAGATGCGGTAGCCCTCGATGAGGCCGTTGGGGTTGACCGGAGGCAGCCAAGAGATGGTTACCGTCGTGTCCGTCACGTTCAAGATGCTGACGTTACGCGGCGCCTCCGGAACTGAAAAATGGATAAGTGTCATGCTTTGAACCGACCGACTCATTAATTACGATATCGCATATGGTGACTATAAAGAAGCAAGATATGTGATGAGTTATTTAGCCCATGTCTCACCCTGTTCATGTAACCCATGCGTCAACACTAATCTCGCAAGGCACACAAACTAAATCATGTAGTCTGCTCATTTCATTCTCATTAACCTCCGAGAGAACAAGAAATATGCACGCTCATTTATCATCACATTACAAGGTGAGAGAACCGTGCTTCCCGTTTCGCGGTGGTTTCTGGAAAAGACACAGTGGAGGCACAGCGGTCTGACGAGCTGACAGTGGTCACTGGTCAGTGAGAAGAAAGAAGAGAGAGAGAGAGAGAGAGAGAGAGAGAGAGAGAGAGAGAGAGAGAGAGAGAGAGAGAGAGAGAGAGAGAGAGAGAGAGAGAGAGAGAACGAAAGAGAGAGAGAACGAAAGAGAGAGAGAGAACGAAAGAGAGGGGGAGACACACAAGGGCGGACGGACAGACAGACAGACAGACAGACAGACAGACAGACAGACAGACAGACACCCCCCCCCCCCACACACACACCCACAGACAGACACACACACAGACAGACACACAGACCGCCAGGCATACATACAGACAGATAGACAGACAGATAGTCACAGACGGACGAGCTCTCACCTCCCTCATCCGTGCTCACCACAGACAGACATAAATAGACGAGATCTTACCACCCTCGTCCTTACTTCCCCACGGACAGACAGGCAGACAGACAGACGGACAGACAGGCGAGCTCTCACCTCCCTCGTCCGTGGTCACCACCACCGTGGAGCTGGGTCCAAGTCCGGCTGGGTTCTCCACCTGTATCGAGATGATGTACTGCGTGTATGGACGCAGACCGGTGATGGTGTGAGTCTGCCGAACACAGAGAGACGGGTGTGAGCGGGAGGGAGAGATGGAGAGAGAAAGAGAGAGAGAGGGAGGGAGAGAGAGAGAGAGAGAGAGAGAGAGAGAGAGAGAGAGAGAGAGAGAGAGAGAGAGAGAGAGAGAGAGAGAAAGAGAGAAAGAGAAAAAGAAAAAGAAAAAGAAAAAGAAAAAGAAAGAAAGAAAGAGAAAGAGAAAGAGAGGAGAAAGAAAAAGAGAGGAGATTAAAGTGTGTGAGAAGCACACATGACGACTGACGAGTACGAGGAAGGCATAGACGAAAAAAAAACAGGATATGTAAAAGGAAGACCCGGACGGAGGTGCCCGATAAAAACGCCTTCCGAAGAGGAGGCGGTGCCATACCCAAATACCTATACCTAATCATAAATCGAAATCATGCACCCGCAAGCAAGAGTTGATTGTACGACATGTGACATGTGTTTAAAGTGTGATAACTTGCACGACAAACATATAGCTGTGCGGTTCGTCTTTTGCTTAAAGTCTCATTCAGAAATGTGGTAGAAGGGAATGTCGAAGACACTCCTCAGCATGCTTGATAATTCGTTCAGACTAAATGGAGACTATTTACACAAATTGCGGCAATGCAGGGGCATCATATGGTAGTTAACAGTAACGCACACAAACGTACTGCCGGCTGACGTCGTGGCGCCGCGCATGCGCTGCGCGCGTCGCCGTCCGCCAGTCGTCGCTCGCCACCCGAGAGCGACAGACGTGGCAGCAGAGCGAGACACCTATACGACACAGGCGACCTCACACGACTGGCCAACACTCCCTCGCGATGGATAGTGCTGCCATCACCGCGGCACTCACAGGTACGCTGCTGAGTGTTTGTGTGGTATGCTGTTCGTCACGCCACCCGACCGCGGGGCTGCTCCTTCGGGGCGCACCCCGCCCCCTCTTGCATACGTTGCAATATCCGCTGTCTGTCAAAGGGTCGCTCCTCCGGAACGCACACCCCGACAACGGCTCGTGTGTAGTGTATCATGCTGTTGCAACGTCACGGGTCGCTCCTTCGGAACGTACACCCTCGTCAACAGCTCGCATGTTGCATACTGTTGCAATGCCTCGCCGTCTATCAAAGGGTCGCTCCTTCGGAACGCACACCCCGACAACGGCTCGTGTGTAGTGTATCATGCTGTTGCAACGTCACGGGTCGCTCCTCCGGAACGTACACCCTCGTCAACAGCTCGCATGTTGTATACTGTTGCAATGCCTCGCCGTCTGTCAAAGGGTCGCTCCTTTGGAACGCACACCCCGACAACGGCTCGTGTGTAGTGTACCATGCTGTTGCAACGTCACGGGTCGCTCCTCCGGAACGTACACCCTCGTCAACAGCTCGCATGTTGCATACTGTTGCAATGCCTCGCCGTCTGTCAAAGGGTCGCTCCTTCGGAACGCACACCCCGACAACGGCTCGTGTGTATCATGATGTTGCAACGTCACGGGTCGCTCCTCCGGAACGTACACCCTCGTCAACAGCTCGCATGTTGCATGCCGTTGCAATGCCTCGCCGTCTGTCAAAGGGTCGCTCCTTCGGAACGCACACCCCGACAACGGCTCGTGTGTAGTGTATCATGCTGTTGCAACGTCACGGGTCGCTCCTCCGGAACGTACACCCTCGTCAACAGCTCGCATGTTGCATACTGTTGCAATGCCTCGCCGTATGTCAAAGGGTCGCTCCTTCGGAACGCACACCCCGACAACGGCTCGTGTGTATCATGCTGTGGCAACGTCACGGGTCGCTCCGCCGGAACGTACACCCTCGTCAACAGCTCGCATGTTGCATACTGTTGCAATGCCTCGCCGTCCGTCAAAGGGTCGCTCCTCCGGAACGCACACCCCGACAACGGCTCGCGTGTATCATGTTGTTGCAAAGTCATGGGTCGCTCCTCTGGAACGTAAACCCTCGTCAACAGCTCGCATGTTGCATACCAGCTCGCCTGTTGCATGCTATTGCAATGCCTCGCCGCCTTTCAAAGGGTCACTCCTCCGGAACGCACGCCTCCGACAACGTTTCGTTTGAGGTATGTTATTGCAATGCCACGGGTCGATCCTTCGGAACGCACCCCTCGCCCACATTTCCATGCTGCATAATGTTGCAATGCCTCGTCGTCTGTCAAACGGCCGCTCCTCCGGACCGCACACTTTCTGTCACGGCTCGTGCGTCGCATTACGTTGCAAGTTTCACGCCGTCGGGCGCTACGACGCCGCCGCGGCACGCCGCATACTCTCGCCACAGCTCATGCGGCGCAAGCCGTTGCAAGCCCACGCTGCCCAGTGCCGGCGCATGCCGCGCACTCCACCAAAACCCGCACTAACACGCCTCTAGGCGCGAAGCCGGCCTCTAAGGGCCGCACGCCGGACCCACGGCTCGTATCCAAGCTCGCATGTTGCATTATTATGGCTGCCTTACGCTCCCCGGCGCCCGCCGAACGGCGTGCCCACCGCCAACCCGAGGGCTATGCCGTCGCAACATCGTCCCACCGGCGCAGGGTAGCCTCTCAGCACAAACATCCACGTCACACGCCTTATGTTGCACGTCTTTACACGATTGCAACATGGACGGTCAAACGGAGCCGGCTCTCGCCAGCCCCGCGTGGCCCGGATATGACCGTGATGATCGTATGGGCGAACTGCCGCGCAGCTCGCATCTGGTCCGCCTAGAGCAGCGCCCCTACATACGGCATTGCACCTTCATTGTCACCGCTGCGCCGCAACGCGGGCGGCGAGATGGCAGCGGCGCGGCGTTTTCCAACGGACACTCCCCCCCCTCCCGTTTGTTATTCCCGCAGTCGCCCCTGCCCCCGAGGGCAATGGGTGTTAAGATAACACCAGGCGCCCAGCCTCTCCCTCTGTCTCGCACGGCCGGACGGTCGGTCACCCCGCCCCTCCCCATTCCCCCACGCCCGCGGGCGCACCGCCGGCCGGCATCCACCGGCCATGTGCGACCCGCAGTCCAGCGACGGCCGGTGGTGTACAGGCCGGCTACGCGTGTGTCGAGCGCAGTTTCTGTTTGCACACCACCACGCGGTTCAGTGGAGGTGAGCGTCGCTCGGACTCCGCCCGCGCGTGTGTACTCATGGCAGGCTGTTATCCGGGGTTTTCGGCAAACGGCCGCCACCCGTGCGCCAGCGACCCGGACCTGAGCGCCGTCACCCGGTCACTGCTCACAAACAGTCTCTCCACCGCTTCACAGCGAGCTTACTCCGTCGGACAAGAATGTTACAGAGGGTTTTGCCAACGGTTTGGGCTGTCCCCGGTGCCCGCCAGCGACGAGACGTTGACCTATTTCGTCGGCTGGGACCGGGACCGGCTGGGTCGGGTCGGCCGGTCCTACCCCAGCGCCCGCCGACGGGCTCGGCGCGAGGCCGCGGCGGCCGCCGTTAGCCGTCACGGGCCGCTCTATGACTCCGGTGTAGACGTGAGCCGACTGCATTGCCTACTCTCGCACTGTCCCGCCGTCTCACCTGCCCTCAGAGACCTCGTCGTTCACCGTTTTTTTGTGCGGCGCCGACATCGGGTACAGAGGGGAGCCGGGGGAGAGGGCCACGCCAAATAATAGGTCGGCACTCATGCGACCGGCCGGGGTCACCGCCGCCATTGCCGCGGAGGTCGCGGCGAGGACCACGCGGGGACCGTTCTCAGCCCCACCATTCACCGATTTCGTGACAAATCCCCTGAGCGCGCGTGATAAAGCCGACGGCAGTGTCCGGCTGATCCTGGACTTGTCACAACCGACCGGGTTCAGTATTAATGATGGGATTGACTTGGACGAGTTTCGACTTTCTTACACCACCATAAATGACATCTTTCGGTCGATTTTCGCAGCTGGCGGTCCCGGCGCGCTTCTCGCAAAATTAGACATACAATCGGCTTTCAAACTCATCCCGGTAAGGCCTGACCAGTGGAGGCTTCTCGGCTTCCGATGGCAGGACCAGTTCTATTTTCAGGTCGCGTTAAGCTTCGGCAGTAGAAGCTCCCCACGCATCTTCAACGATTTCTCAGACTGCCTCGAAGCTCTGTTTCAGCAGCGTGCGAGACCGGCAGCGATCCAAAAATATTTAGACGATTTTTGGTTAGTGGCACCGCCCGCGTCCCCGGCCGCGGAAAACGCCTACGCGGCAATGCATGACATTTGTGAGTCGCTCAGAGTCCCGCTAGCGAGGGATAAAAGTGTCGCCCCCACCACCTCCCTTACTTTGCTCGGCGTCCACATCGATACCAGGGCCATGACGGTCGGTTTGCCGCCGGAAAAGCTGAGTGCCCTACGCGAATGCATCACCGCCTTGCTGCCACGACGGAAATGCAGAAAGCGCGAGCTGCTGTCGATTGGCTGTTGGTCGGCCTCCCGTCCCTCGTGACCGCGTCCTTGCATCGTGCATGCGTGCACGTGTACATACGCGGTCCGAAAGACAGGTGACGGGCGAGAATAAAAAAAACGGACATAGAAATAAAATAAAGCGGATCTGACCGCCAGCTAAGTTTCTTATGCCTACCTACTCCTACGACACCTTAGGTGTTGTGTGACTGGCGGTGACGGGGTGGACGGTGGGGTGAGGTCGCCTGTGTCGTATAGGTGTCTCGCTCTGCTGCCACGTCTGTCGCTCTCGGGTGGCGAGCGACGACTGGCGGACGGCGACGCGCGCAGCGCATGCGCGGCGCCACGACGTCAGCCGGCAGTACGTTTGTGTGCGTTACTGTTAACTACCATATAACTCACGTTATCTTAAGTTAACTCCGTAACGTTCCCATCACCCTTTACTTCCGTCTCGATAGTATTACTCTTTGGCTGTTGGTCGGCCTCCCGTCCCTCGTGACCGCGTCCTTGCATCGTGCATGCGCCAATCACCTTAGGCAATTTTATGACCCGCGCTTCAAGTGATTTATGAAAACAAGGACCGGGTGCATTTGTTTTGATTACCGAGTGAGGGCTCCCTCGTGACAGAGCGGAGGTAGCTTAATACTGCGACGATTACTGCGAGGTGTCCACATTTACGGAAAGTGTTTCGATGATTTACTTAAATATATTTTGGTGCAGCATTTGGAACGGTTGTTGAACTGTTCACAGATAATTTATATATTGCTAGCATCCCGCTATACATGGCATAACCAAAAAAACGACTTCACATACCGATGCGTTGGCATCACACCGAAGATGACTGAAGGAACAAGGAAAAGGATTTAATTACCTGTACTGTTTCCTCGGTGATCTTGAGCTCCTTGATGGGTGAGCTGGTGTTGTTCCTCTCCTTGTATGTGATCTTGTAGGCCTGGAACTCTCCGCGGAGCTCGCGTTGGGGTAGCGGTCTCCAGCGGACCCGGACGGCAGTGGCACTGGTGTTGTGCGCTGCCAGAATCACGGGCTTGCCGCCGGGCGCTGGGAAAGGAACACGACCACGTCAGTACGTCAGGTACGTCAGCTACGTCGGACAGAAGGGAAAACACCGTCAGGCAGTGAAGACAGAACCACTAGTGCTGATATTTAATGCTGATAGGTTAGTTTTGCAGGTTAGTTGCTACATCAGAATCATTGCGACCTTGGGCTGGGGGGATCCAGAGCGTCGTAAGCCTCGTCGTAGCTGCGACGTGTCGCAAGTTGTGTAGTAAGTCGTTTTTGAAGGGATCAATTGATGAGTAGCGTTACTTAAGTAGTAAAGTCTATCGCAAATAGCCTGATTTGCGACACAACTTACGAATTTGAAATAGCAGTCGTAAGTTGTGTCGCAAGTTGACCTTGCCTTGAGGAAGAGGTCACAGGTCACAGGTCATTCGGGTCATGGTCACGAAATTTACATGGTAGGTGTAAAATTGTTTAAACTTTAGATCCTGAAAATTTGGTTGCAATCCGTTGACGCTAACGCGAGTTATAGAGCTTGAACTGACGGGTCGTCTATGAGGCCTCAATCCGTGCCAGCGAGAGTGTTGAAAATGGTGCATAGTATGTTATATTCACATTTATTGGGGTATTCGGGGATATGAAATAGCCTAACACCATTCCAGCAACTACTGGCGAATCCAGAAAGGCGGTCTTGGACGTTGCAAGGGGCATCGCCCAAAATATTCTCCCAATTCCAAAAACGACGTGTCCCAGCTGACCCCGATGACCTCCAATGAGCTCTGTGATGACCCCAAGTTGACCTTTTTGACCTGGCCTGTCCCAGATGACCTCCGTGACATCCTATTGAGCTCTCTGATGACTCCAAGCTGACCTCTGTGACCTGACGTGTCCCAGATGACCCCCATGACCTCCAATAGAGCTATGTGATGACCCCAACATGACCTTTTTTATAAATTTAGTCCGGACCTTTTTGATGGGAAGGAATCACAAGGACAGAGCCACCGCTAAGCGAAGCTTGTTGCGGTGACCCTGCCCTCTACCCTCCGATTGCGCAATTCCGATACTATGGCAGAATTTAGAGTCCAAAGTTTAACGTGCGCACAAAGCCGCGCACGGCCGGTCCCCTCGCTGACTTCGCCTGGCTACGGCCTGCCACCAACCGCAACCATACCTGTCAGGAGGCCCATAAATGTCGAGCGCCCGTCGCGCTTCGAACCCGGACTGTCACAACCGGGAACGCGTGCTCTCACCACGCGGAGTCCAACGCTCTAACCAACTGAGCTACGGGACCGGCGAAACTCTCTGATGACTCCAAGCTGACCTCTGTGACCTGACGTGTCCCAGATGACCCCCATGACCTCCAATAGAGCTATGTGATGACCCCAACATGACCTTTGTGACCTGATGTGTCCCAGATGACCTCCGTGACCTCCTATTGAGCTCTCTGATGACTCCAAGCTGACCTCTGTGACCTGACGTGTCCCAGATGACCCCCATGACCTCCAATAGAGCTATGTGATGACCCCAACATGACCTTTGTGACCTGATGTGTCCCAGATGACCTCCGTGACCTCCAATTGAGCTCTCTGATGACTCCAAGCTGACCTCTGTGACCTGACGTGTCCCAGATGACCTCCATTTGAGCTCTGTGATGACCCCAACTTGACCACCGTGACCTGGCGTGTCCCATATGACCTCTGTAACCTCTAAGTGACCTCTATGATGACCCCAAGCTAACCTCTGTGACCTGACGTGTCCCAGATGACCCTCATGACCTCCAATAGAGCTCTGTGATGACCCCAAGTTGACCTCTGTTACCTGACGTGTCCCAGATGACCTCCGTGACCTCCAATTGAGCTCTCTAGTGACTCCAAGCTGACCTCTGTGACCTGACGTGTCCCAGATGACCTCCAATTGAGCTCTCTGATGACCTTTAGTTGACCTCTGTGACCTGACGTGTCCCATATGACCTCTGTGACCTCTAAGTGACCTCTCTGATGGCACCAAGCTGACCTCTGTGACCTGACGTGTCCCAGATGGCCCCAATGACCTTCAATTGAGCTCTGTGATGACCCGAAGTTGACCTCTGTGACTTGATGTGTCCCAGATGACCTCCGTGACCTCCAATTGAGCTCTGTGATGACCCTAGGTTGACCTCTGTGACTTGACGTGCCCCCAAGTTGCCCTCTGTGACCTGACGTGTCTCAGATTACCTCCGTGGTCTCTAATTGAGCTCTGTGATGACCCCAAGTTGACCTCTGTGACCTGACGTGTCCCAGATGACCTCTGTAACCTCCAATTGTGACCTCCATCTACAAATTTCTTACCTCTCTGTGACCTCAAACTCTCGGAACTCATTTCTTCTAAAGCATCGATTCTAGATGCCCTATAGCCACGAATCTCCTGTGATCGATCCCAAATTTTATGGCAAATCACGTGAGCGTTAGCAATCACAAGTCACCCAGTTAATACAAAGCTTCAGAATCAGAGAACATGCTTGACCTTGCTGTCTCATAAGCTCGCAAACCAGAAAGGCGAATGTTCCTTTATGCGTGATAGAGTTTTCGACCTTACTGACGTTTACTACGGGATCAGCTGATCGTGTAGCCTTTTAAATTCTCGAGTAAAGCGGGTATTTAAGCCTCGTCGCAGCTACGTTCTGTCGTATCCTCCGACAAACCCCTCTTTCCTCAACATCCCTCCTTTTTCGCTACGACACAACTTGCGACGGGACATGTGTCGTAACTTGCGACGTGTCGTAGATGGACTTGCGACGCCCTGGATCCCCCCGGCCTGTGAGAGTTTTGATGAATATAGTCATCATGCTTCATTTCCTTCTTTGTAGCTTTGACTATCTATCAAAAGACGTGTTTAATATGAATTCATATTACCAAATTACTCCAAAAATAGTCATCCATGACTTTCCGTCATCCCCGGCTTACAAAGTATACACCCATCCTCCACCCGCTGGGATGGCTCTCTCAAAAGAGCGGGCTGTTCCGCGGCTTTATATATGATAGACAGCCCCGAATCTGTGTCTCTGGCCACAGAGCTCCATCAAGCGGCGAAGTTTAGCGATCGTTCCATTATTCAGCCGCAGTCATCAGAGTGACTTGACAACAGCAGCAGCTCGGCAAAATCTGACAGATCGTCTTCCGGCTGGTCCCGAAAAGAGTCGATGATTTATTACTGGACCGGCTGCATGGCCCAACATAGTCAGAACGGGAAGGTGGATGGAGGTGCACTTAGTACGACCGAGGTTTTGAAAGAGACGACTTCTTTTGGTGTGTGATTGATATTCTGCGACATTGGGGTGAACAAATGATTATGGTTTTATACAAGACGAAGGCTTGGAGGCTAGAGGCTGAGGTATAAGCGCAGTGCCTTGCCCTCTTTTGAACAGACCATGCAACACTTCCAATTCGAGGCTGCAACGCTTTCAGTTTGTTTGCGTACCAGATTCTGTTTGTGTCTGTTTCTTTTGGGGTACCGCATTCAGCATTGATTAGAAACCCTCCCAGTTTTCAAAGATGTTATCCTGATTAGAAACTCCTTCATTTTCCCTCATATGCTACTTTGATAAGCGGAAGTAGGAGTGGTAGGTACTGTTTATGTTTATCAAAGGTCCCACGGCCATAGGCATGTCACACCGTAAATGTAGGCAAGACACACACCACCGTGTAGTTGTTGTTTAACTGGAACACCTTGTTATGATGGGCACTGGAGCAGCCAGTCGTTGACATTATTTATAAGAAAACAGCTGCATGACACACCCTCGACTATTTCTGGGACAAGTGATGATGCCGTGGTGGAACCCCGCCATACTTTAATCCGTCGACACATTGCACTTTCCTGCTAGGAAAAAATAAAAAAGGACAATTCGTCATTCTAAGTGGGATTTATTTAGGGTTTAGTAGCCAAACACCGATATGTCTTGGTAAGTCGAACGGCAGCGCTATAAATTTGGACGGGTACAGCTCGCGATGAAAACTGCCACATAAAACACGGGCCATTGTTTCAGAGCGCGCCATTGCGGTTTGAAGCTCACAGCTTCTTGACTTTGCCAACTGGAGCGTGACGCGAGCCGGTCGAGGTTTCCCGGAAACCGCTGAAAGCCACTGTATGGTAGCACTCGTAGGGACAAGACAGGAAGGTCCATGCGCGATTTACAATGACGCATACACACATGAGCAAGGAGACTTTTATCTACTAACAGAAGTCTACAACATTATTGACTTATCTTCAGCATTAAGTACAGAATCAGACATCAAATGGATAATGTGAAGTGAACAAAAAGCTTTTTCAATATAGCAACGCATTGATTGCAACCTCTTCGCATGCATCGTATGCGGCCATTCAGCTGCCTCCAGTCATTGCCATTGATTTCGTCAGTTATGATATCCGGTCAGTGCGCGAACTGACACTGCTCACTGCTCTGAAGGTAATAAAACTCGCTGACACCACGAACACGGCTAACGACGCAATTTTTCAAAATCGTTTGTAGTTTACAGCCAAATGTCACTTTCAACTGCACTGATGAACGAGATCCGTTCTTCACAAAGGCACAGACCAGAAGGTCCGGCCTAGTTTCCTACTAAGACCGTAAAATGTTTTAATGTAGCGGCAGTCGACTGAGGAAGAAACGACCATGAATTAATTTTATGCGTGACGGAAACGGTAAGTTCTGCCTATCTCGACAATAAAGTTAATTTTAGCATGATGTGATACTGCAAAATGAATTACACATTACACAAACCATTTAGTGGTAAAGTTTACCAACGGGAATATGCATTGTAAAATTTGTGGTGAACATCTTGACATTTATGATGTAACTTGTCATAACATTTGTAACTATTATCTAGCGACCGTTTAGGACATATGGTAGCAACTTAGACCGAACATGACAAAATGGCGACAGGTGATAAAGTTCAATCGTAGCTGACAGTTTGTTTTCTAAAGAACATAGTTTTTCACTCACGGAAAGCTGTTTGAAAAAAATACAGCTCATGTCTAGAAGGCGCAATGTCAGTCACTGGTGATGAGTGTTTGATCCTTTCACCTTCTCTGACTGTGGTGATGGGAAGGGAGGCTAAGTCACACAATACTAAGCCACTGATTGGGTTTACGATTCCCGATTTCCTCACCTTCTCGGAGTGTGATGATGGGGAAGGAGGCGATGCCGCTCTCGGAGCTGCCGATGCCGTTGACGGCCTCCAGTCTGAAGCTGTAGGCCGTGTACGGATGCAGGTCCGAGATGACGAACGACGTCGAGTTGTCCGGAGTGATGATGGGCTCCTCCGACCAGTCACCCTCCTCTCCCGCTCTGAAAACAAGCAGCGGCATTGTCTCAGCACTGAGCGTCCCACCCTCGTCCAATTTATCAGCCAGCGTGATCCAGCCAACAAACTCTTAGAACGGCTTTCTTCATAACCATCATTCGCGGTTACAAAGCACAGCCAATTACCCGCGATGGTGATGTTTGAAAGATGCTCGTATACTTTGGCGAGATTAAACCATTTTCTGTCTGGTTAGAGTCTCCAATCCAGCTCCGATCCCCAACATCCGGCTGGATGCGGTCAACCCGTCACGCTGCTCCGAGTTGCACGAAGCAATAGGCCGAGACCCGCCGTGTGTGTCCTCTCGGACGGCCGTGGGCTCTGACAAACACTCGTGTATCGCAGTCTCGCTCCGTTCGTTACGAGAGTCACGCGCCCCTTCGGCGACCGTTTCGCAGCCATTTGTGGTGCTCGTCGGTCGCTGCTGAAATACGAGCGCATCATTTTCACCCCATTGGCGACCCGGCCCGTTTAAGTCAGCGCAACAGGGTTTCATGAAATCGCGGCGTAACTCGCTGGCTGCAGCCCGGCGCTGTTAATCATGCGATGATTTGATCAGGGACGGCGCACATCGCCCTCCAGGTTCGCCCCAGCGACCCGTGGCCAAACCTGCGGCCTGGGCGATGCTGATTGAAAATGGTCATGTAGAAAATGTTGCGCGAAATTGTGAAACTCAGCGATTGATGTTTGCTATTGAGCTTCCAGTCAGGGGTGGTTACATCACCAGCAGTGGCTTTAAAGACTTTGTGCTGAAAGAGATACTAGATTGGTCTGACTTGACACGTAGGCTGCGATGATCTGCTAACATCAATTTGCCGAAATGCGGTGCAGTGGATTAGTAAACACAAGATTATCGGCTAAATCCTGAATAAATTTCATATCATCGTCTTACCACGATAACGATCCAAAACATTCAAAGCTTCAAACATGTATGGCACTTCTAAGCATTCAAAATATTAGATATTGTTTCGATTGCCTTATGAACGTTCTAAGTAAATTCTAGAGTCTAGACATTACCGTAATGATATGGTATGAAAACAAGCGTAACATTAAAAAAGCAGCAACCAAAAAATTGTGTTCCCAAGAAAATAACCGCTAACCCTCAAAGCGGGCAAGTGAAGACGAATCCATACCATCTCCAACTTTAACCATACCTCTGTACCGGCCATCACAGTGTATGCCGCACTCATCCACCGGCTCCCACGCAGGACCTTTCCCGTCCTTTCTCAGAAGACAACCATCCACTCCATCGTCAGAGCCGACACCAGTCATTTTCCGCTGCCGTACCCGATGTGCGGGCCGGTTTTTTGCGCACATTGGCGGGCCTACGCTGACGAGAGCTGTCGCGGCGAGCTGCCCTGCGGAAGCCACGCCAGCCATCATCGGTCGCCACGCTGGCGGAGCGTGACCGAGGCCGTGGGTCATCTCCCGGGGCGCCCCGCCGACCCCTCCGGCCACACCAGCCCCGCAGGGATCGTGGGGATGGGAAATACGGGAGGGGTGAGAGGGTCATCCTCGTGTTTGTCACTGATCGCGTGGGCAGATTTGGTGGTAGAAAACAGCGTGAAAGGTTGGCGGTGGACGATGACTTTGGGCAAAGGTATGCGGTGGAATTTGTAAAATGTAATTGCGGTAGAACGGTCGCGGTGGGGCGCCGTTGGGGGAAAAGGAGGATGGTGGGTAGGGTGTGGGGGTCGGTGTGGGGGTGAGAGGTGGGGAAGGGGGAGGGAGGAGCAGGCGAGGGCGGCAGGCGGGGGCGGCAGGCGGCGGGGGCAGCAGAAGAAAGATGATGGAGCCCACGCATCGGTACAAAGGGTAATTGGCAATGGCAGGGACGGAGATGAATGAAAAAGCGCCATTGGTGCTCAGGCACCGAGACGTGGCCTGCATGTAGCAATAATATCCAGCCATTCACGTGAGCCAAAAACAAAACGTCACCGAAAGAGCGCTGTAGAGTAGAGCGCGGTACTGAGTAGAATTATACCGAGATATGAACCTTTGTGGCGCCTCGCGGTGACTGATGATTCAAAGTGCTGTATCGATCGCGAGGAGTTGGAGACAGCGGGTCCAACTCGTCAGCGGCCAGCCGGGCTGAAGTAAAGTGGACAGGCGTAGCGGCAATTCAGACTAGTTAGCGCCGCGGAAACTCGTCTGACGAAGATGGATCCGTTCGGAGGTCGAGTGCAGATCAGCTCAGTGTTCGACACGGACCCACACCGCGGGTAGAGAGGGTGGAGAGGTCGTGTCGCTAATGATCGCGCTTGCTGAACGCAGAGGAATCCATTTTGAATAGAAGCACGAGACATTGAACTGATACTTGATTCTACCGACAGTCGATAGATATTGAAGTTTTGACGTTGATGTCGGAAGGGCAGAATGGGATCACTTTCCTTACCACTCAGTTCTGAGACGGGATACTAAGTTTGAAAAGGCACTATGCACGAATGGATGATATCAACATTGTTCTATATTACCTACTTTTAATGAAAACTAACACTGGAAAGCAGTAAAACGCGTCCGTATGAAATTAAGTCCTTTGATGGGTGCGTGCGATGGTATATCAGTCTTTTGGTGTAGTTCTCCTTTTGCATTCCAACTGATAGAAGTATTGATTTTGGCCAATCGGCTGGATTTCCGGTTCGAACGTCAACATCATTATTCGGCAATAAAAGCATATATTTCACAATAAGTTCGTCAAATTGAGGACTCGCGTCCACAAAACAATAGATCCGTGTCGAGATGCACAAAAACAGAGATGAAACCGCGAACAAAACACACTCATATCGTGGTCGAAAATTGCATCTGCACCGTTTCCGCAACAATCCAATAGCCAGTCGGCCCGGCAAATCGTCAATATTGGTCGTTGAAAGTGCCAATATAGGCCAAACTGTTTACCAGCACGGCCGAGCGTAGAGTGCCCTCTGATTGAACCAAATGGGTTTCGGCGCTGGACAGAGGCCTCCCTGCAGCGCCTCTATGGCCGGTCACTCGGCCGACCACTCGGCGCCGGGCCGGGGCGTCAATGGCACCGCGACCACACCGCTCTCAACCTAATACCAGCGCAGAAAACCGTCCCTTTTTGCATGGCCACGGTGAAAGTGAAAGACTCCCACTCGGTGGAAAATGGTGTTTTGATGGCGTTGCGCTGCGACAAGCAGACGGATATTGGATCGGGTCCGGAGCTGGGCCGGCGACAGCGAAACAATATAGTGACAGCGGAGGGCGCCATTTCCAGTTTGGACGTTCATCGTTTGACAGCAATAATGCACGTCCGACCGTGATGGTCAAATGCCAGAGGTAACGGATGACCCGCAGGCTTCGACACAAATGCCCCCAATCTATGAAATGGCCATGCAATGGACATGCATCTGCAAACAGGGCAAGGAGCAATACTTTTAGGTCGCAAAGTGTTACCGAATGAAGAAAATAGGTAAAATGAACCATATGATATGGTATTATTGTATCTTTTTTGAATTTGCTGCATGTGTTTCTCACTTTTCGGCTGGTGGTCAGCATTTAACCTAAAAACTGATGTGTTCGTTAAAATCAAAAGGAAATACATTGAATTCATCAATTGGAGCTTTCAAATGCTACACGCGATCGTTAAACGTTGCATAGGTATGAGAGGATGATTTAAAAAGTCGAAATGTTTTAACGTGATGAAGTTGAGCCGCCTCTGCTGTTATATCAAAGCTGGGCTGCATATGATAATGAATGCATAGCGCAATGAACATTTCGGGCATCGAAAGTACTGGTCGCTTGCTTCCGATTTGATCAGTTTGTCTGGCTCTATGTCGGTCTGCCAGTCAGTTCGTCTGTCAGGTTGCTGTGTGATTACTGGCTACTAGAATACTTCTTGCATCTGACATATCTTTTCACAGCTATCTGTACGAGGTGTAATGAAAAACACGCCATTCCATACCACGCCTTGATCTCTCCGTCTCGCAATCTCTCCTCGAGAAATGAACGGAATCCCACTCTCAGACACGCCATATTAATATTTAATGAAAGTCTCGGGGGCATTCACACTTGCCTCAGGTCTAATATGACACAATCATCACATAGCGTGTAAGCGGACGACCGTAGTGCAGCCATAGCACGTCCCCAGACGCGACGAGCAGGCCGTTCCACCGGTTGTCGATGAAGTCCCAGGGGTCTCGTCTCACCCCTTCTGCGTCGCATGCCCCGCGGCATCCCGGCTAGTCACCGAGACCCATTAGTGTCCCACACCGTCGACAAAATCGCGTTTTCGCTGAAAAGGATCATCTCAGCACACTGATGCGATCCTGTCCCGCTGCGCCGGGGGAGAAGCGAACGCGTCCCCGTCGAGGGAACGTGAGGGGGCATGAGGGCGCGTGCGGACGTGCGGACTCGGGGCTACTGAACGTGGGAGCCATTCACGCGGCACGTGGCACGTGCCACGAGCGATGGAGTGTGGAAGGATATCGGAGGGCAATGTGTCGTGATGCGGCTGTGCGAGCTGATACGGCGATGGTGTATCACTATCCTGACCGTATACCATAACAGTGTGTGCTGTTATTGCGATGTGTCACCATGCGGCAGTAATTTCGGTGCGTCTGAGCCCCGGTGTGGTGATATATTCTGATACCGCAGTTTGTCCTCAGTCCTGAAGCAGTGGTGATGTTTACAATCGCTTTACGATAGATTTTGCCGTCCGCTAGACCCCTCCACCCGATAGACTTGAGTCTATCCAGTAGACTCCGTTCAATCTGATAGACTCCGCCGCCCGATAGACCCTGCCGCCCGACAGACGTGCGCCGTCCGGTGACAGCGGAGAGCCCCGGGATCACGGCCGGCCTTCCGGCGGTGGACAGATTGGTACCGGCCTCAGCCGTCAGCGCAGAGGAACGACCTCCATCTCCGACTGCGTCAGCGCTAGAGGTGTCAATCGGAACCGAAAATTTTGGAATTCCGAAAATTTCCGAATTCCGATTCGGAAATCGGACGGACAAGTGACAAACACATC